CCCAGTATTTCATTTAATTTATATAACTGACATTTTGCATTATTTGATTTGTAGGCATTTCTATGGAAACCCGTTCAATTATTTATAAAACTGAATCAACTGGTATATTATCCTTAACGCAATTACTTTTGGGGATTTGCGTAAACAAATCCCACTTTGACACATAATTCCCATTTAAACATTAAAAACACGAAATACTTCCTTGAAAAAAGCTTGGACCAGATTGCCAGGTGAAACATTGGAATTACTTCAAATTCATTCGCTGAGATTTTACAAATATATATTATTCCTATATAATGTCTTACATCAACTCGGCGCTCAAATACTGTGAAACTATTCGCTCTAATTTAGACGAAAGTTCTTATAAATAATAATAGTAGTAATAACGGTAATCGAAATAATAATTTAAGGCCATGGTAACGATAACGATAAGACGTACTTCTTTTGTACGCGTGGCTCTGGCTTCAACTCATGAATGGCAAGAGCTTCTGCTGTTTTAAGGGGTTGGATACGTTTTTGTTACATAAATGAATGTAACATCAACGTCAATTTAAAATCTTATCTGGGTGTTTTAGTCTCCGTCCACATTTATTTTTGACTGGAATATATATATATATATATATATATATATATATATATATATATAGTTTTCTATTAGATTTTAAAGGCTAAAAATTAATCACTGAATGAACTACTTTTCATTCAATTACAAGTTGAAGTTATACTAATGTTAACACTGCCATTGACAAAAGTAAATTTAAATAATTTGTATAAACTGAATACAAAAGAATGTAGAAAATTGGTCTCCGCAAACCCTTATCAACTTGCAAGTAGATTTCCAGGAGCCCTGGTTAGGGTTAAAGATAAGACTTACAGATAGGGTTAATTTGTGTGCCATGTACAATTTAATTGAGAAGAGTTCAGCATTTAATATGTTTAACGCCGTCATTTTTACACTATGATGGCCAAAAATAACTTAATTATCTTTTAAACTACCTGAACACTATGAAAATGTATTTTTAATGGTCGCATTCTATGACTTATGACAAAATGTGTGCTTTTTGAATTTGGTGCAAAAATTCAAAAGCCGTTTCTCAATTCTGAGCTCTCATAATACACATTTTTTTAAATTATATTTTTTGAAATTTCGCTATGATTTTAAAAATCAAACAAATATTGTTTTTTTACCTTTCATAAAGTTATACTAAGGTGCAGCACCACATATGACAAGTTCATACAAGAATATACTCCTTTGGACTACATGAGACTAGAATAATCATGTGACTATCAAACTTATAAATTCAATTCTATTGGTTTTCTTGTACCTAGTTATACGGGTAATCTTGAATAACTACTCACGTAATTTTCGACATACCCTAATCTATCTATAAGTCCATTGTTTTTTGAGATACAGTTGTTACAAGACACAGATCAGATTGTAGTAAATGAGAACACAGGTGAGGACAACCAAAAAATTACAAAGTTGCTTGATAAAATACAAAAACCATACTTTGATACTATATTTGCAAAATGTTCATCAATTGTCTCAAGCTTCATTGTTCCTGGACTTCCACACCAATTGCTTTCTATTTCTGTTCTTCTTTTCTCGATCTTCTGTTGTCGGATATTTTATTCCTTACGATATATATTACTTATGTCAATATAAGTAGCCCACACCACAAGATTACTATACATTCGTTCATTACTATCCAGTTTAGATCAGACCAGTGCAATACAATTCCGGGTAACTTCACTCAAATAGAATTAGCGCTAATTCTATTGCCAAGATTACTACAATACTGCTGCAATTACTGAATGGTTCAATCCTGGTGTCGTTTTAATATTTTATTTCCGTTCAGTTCCTAATCTTTATTATTAAAACTCGGTCATATTGACTAATATACTTATTCGTCAATTCAGCTATTTAAATACATATTCAGTGATATTATGATTCAGGTTTCACTGAATCCATGTGTTATCGGTCACTTAAATTAGCAAACATATACTGTAAGACTTCTTTTGGGAAGAAGCACTAACAGACTGAATTAATTAAAATGACAAACAGTAATAGTGGTTTCGGACATTATTGAGAACAAGAATTTTCCCCAGGCTACAATATATTACTTACAGTTTTTAGATTAAATCAGACATACTAACCGGATGGAAAATTAGGTTTTGATAAGTTTGCAGATAATGGTCTGTGGAGCTAATCAATAACCATAATAAGGTGAAATGGCTGCCTAGTGCTTCCAGGTTTTCAATGGTGATCTAACATCAATCGATCCACGATCTCAATCAAAAGCTTAATAGTCTCCGCAACTCCATACTGATAATAACTATTATGATAAATGACTAATGATCACGCAGACTGAAGTGCAGATTAACAGGAAAAAAGGTAAATAAATTAATAACGGGCTTCAACATGGATTTTTGCCTTTGGTCTGTTGTTGTCAACCAACACCCAGATATTATGTTCATCGTCTTTTGAGATATCTGAAAATCGCTATGACGTATCAGTTGTTCTCATCAATATCAAGCTATAGACAATATAAAACTGATTTCAAAGACAGACAAACGGAATTTGAGCTTACCTTATCACTATTGAGTTAAAAGTATTATTCATACAACGAAATCGACAAAGTCGTTCAAAAATCTGTTACCAATCAATATGTGCTGAAATCTATAGACAACACAGAAGAGTAAGTGCTCGTAAAATGTCACTTTTATTTTTGATACTCTCCACTTATCAGTCCAACTATAATGACCCTATAATAACTTACGGTGCTTCGATTCAATATGTTTGGTAGCATACAAAATCATTCTTCGTACACAAGGTAGGTATGGAATGACTCCAATGAAACACTATTGTTTCCTGTATTACTTGGACTGATATTTGTGTAATACTAATGGTACTGAAGACAAATTTGATCACCAACAAGTATTACACAGAATAACTGAGGATTGGATCATTGATTTATACATCATGGTCACCCTACTGACGTGTTGTGATTAAACCTATTCCAGGAATTAACACATTTTCATAAACTGTATAGTTAAGTAATGGTACTTAGAACGGATAAACCATACAATAAACACTCCTCTTCATATTAACAGGCTTTAACGATACTTAGTATTCGCATGATAAAATACCTGAAACTAGAATCTTACTAATTAATTGTCCTATCAGGTTATTTAACTTCTTAATACGAGATTTTGTATTAATAAGTGCGAAGATTTATGCATCTAGTTTGATTTATAGACCACGCGAGTGTTTAGTAGTATGATTCGTTATTGTAAACTACTGTTTACATTCCAAGATCCATGTAATATTTACATTAGTAATTGTTTGAAACAAATATAGCTATGCGCTACTGAAATGGGTATACAACAAAATAAAAATATCAGTTTTGCTGTGTTCAAGGGAAATGTAGAAATACTTCTCTAAATATTTCTCAGTTTCGAGTAAATTGATGAGTTTTACCATAAACTAATGTACACGACACGAGAAACGAACTTAGTATTTTGGGAACTAGCTTCAAGAAATATGATTTTCTAGGTTCTACAGTAATTTACACTGGAAACAGTTTAAGCCCATTTCTCGATAGTAAGTGTAAGGAAGATTATACGAAGTTGGTTAGAGAAGACCTGATCAAGTTTCAGTGAATGAAACATTAATTTGTGGCTATGAACCCTAGGTTGTCGGACCTGAGGTAACGCCTGAAATCATACAATACAACGAAGTAACAAAGTAGATATTACTATGTTCAGCTTTCAGTTACATTAATTATGTGACGGAAAGTCATACTACTCAGCATTTCAAATAAAAATCGAAAGTAACTAATCTCCTCGAAATTTCTTATATCTGCTAGCAAAACTACGTGAAATACACTAGTATTTCATGACAAAACCGGAAACTAGGTTTGGATAATAGCAATATTTCATAAAAATGATGATTCTAATACACTCTACACCTGAGTTAACAACATCACCAATAACGAACACAGTTTTAGGAATAAGACACCCCAGAAAAAAGAACACCAGTGACAGGAAAGATAAAGAAGTTAAGTTGAGCTTTACTGAAACAACAAAACACCTTAGCTGCTGTCATGTAAGACAATCAAATTAGATAAGGTTTTAGCCAAGCATTTTTTAATAGTCGCATAATGAAGACTTCCCCAGTATATCTGTAAACGACTGTTTGTTTCCTAAAAACTTATGCTGTAATCTTGTGGTGTATGATAATTCAAATTGATCTTCGTGAACTAGCAATAGGATACCTAGTTTTACTAGCTGGTTGTCATTTTAAAGACCTTGTTTAGCAGCACAATTGTTGAATAAATATGAATCACTTTTGCAGAATACTTTAGAGTATTCAATCAGCCAAGTGTACACCGTAATAACGTGATCTTTATCAGAATTATATCATTCTAATTTCTCCAATAGTTGGATAGTATCATAGGTAGAGTTACAAACAAACTAATCCCGTGTATAGGACAAATCAATAATGACGAAGCTAAAAATTACCAAGGTTCGCACTTGGCTTGTATGTTAGTAAATTAGGTGATTGATTACTAATATACTTTAGTCGATAAGTTAACACCTCCAAGGGTTCCATAAACTAATTACAATGCGATCACATATCGGATATTAGGTACCTGAATAGATTTAGGTAATAATTAACAAGAAAAAGATTGACTGAGAAAATACGTGAGTTGGCTATTCAACCATATTACAAACTTCATCTAAAATGCAACAAAAAACAAATAAACAACTTGTGTTCTGTGCCAAACGGAATAATTCGACAGTGACTTAAAGATGTTGGGAATTATAAACTACGACACGTTCATTCTATTACAAGACAATAGACTATAAAATGTTGTTCATTGAATTCTAGTCTATCCGCGTTCAGCGGGAGTTTCGAGTCATTGCTTTGCATATGTGTACTACTCAACAAGTACATAAATACAAATAACCATTAACCCGTTACTTCTAGCTATCTATCATAGTGGGACACTTTTATTCTACATCCATAGAAGTACAAAAGTACACATTGTAGTCATAGTATTTAGTGATTTCATCCACAGAAGTCCAAAACACAAAGGAAAGGAAAAAAAGAAGGTAGAAGAAAAGATGCAAACAGGACATTACATCTAAAGTTACATAACCATACAAGTGATGATTTATTTTTTATTGTTTTTACATACACATATCACAACGGGCCTGAGGTGCTAAAAAAATGTAACAACGACACATGTAATACAAAAATAGAAGGCAAACATAAAACATTTTAGTTGATTTCCAACATTGTTTTATTTATTGCATGTCTAATGTTGGCTTTATTCGACCCGACAGTTACAATGTTAGTGTAGCGACAGAATAACGAGAAAAAAGTAATATCTTTTATGTACTCTATTTACCTCGTGAAAACACACAAATCCAAATAAATAAATAAATAAATAAATAAATAAATATTAGTGAGTATTATGATGAAAATATAAGAAAGACAAGTGAATACATATATGTTATAATCCCAAAGCAGCGAACATTACAATGACCTTGAGTAATATAAATGATTTACTTCGAGATTTCAGATGATACATTCCTGGTCTTTGGAGAAGCGATGGGTGGTGGATTTCTAGTTGGAATCGAAGAAGTCGATGGCGCATCTACAGAATTCTAAAACGGGAAAGGCAATTGAAAGGAAAGACTGGACTGATAATGAAGAAGTGGAAAAATAAGCAGGTCTAAGGAAAATTAGAATTCAATACTTACTTAAACCTGTTAGATCCTGTTAGCGGAGCGTGGGCAGCCCACCAGCATTCTCAAACGAACTCTGTCCTGGATAATCTTTCCCAGTTGTTTCGAGTTGCTATTCATTCTTTTGATGTCTGCTACCAATTTCCGACCCAGTGTGTTCCTTGGCCTTCGTTTTTTCTTTTTGTCTTTAGAATTCCAAGTTGGCGCTTGCTTCGTGATTCAGTTTGATGATCTCCTTAATGCATGCCCTATCCACTCCCGGAGTTTTTTCCTAGATTCCTCTTCAGTTCGAAGCTGGTTTGTCTTTTCCCACAGTAGGCTATTTCTGGTTGTAACCGACCAACGGATCTGAAATATATTGCCCAGACAGTTGTTTATGAATACTTGTACCATTTTGGTGATGGTTGTGGTAGTTCTCCAAGTTCCAACTCCGTACAGTACAACTGTCTTAACATTCGTATTGAAGATTGTGACTTTGATATTGGTTGACAATTGTTTTGAGTCCCATATGTTCTTCAACTGTAGGAATGCTGTCCTTGCTTTGCTAATCGTTGCCTTTACGTTTGCATTTGATCCTCCTTGTTCATCGATAATGCTGTCCAGGTACGTAAAGGTTTCCACCTCTTCTCCTGGTGATTCCCCACCAAGTGTGATCTGGTTGGTGATCGCCATGTTGTGTTTCACGATCTTGCTTTTCCCCTCGTGTATGTTCACGCCTACCAGTGTAGAGGCTGCCGTCACACTGTTTGTCTTGACCTGCATTTGTTCGCGTGTATGGGATTGAAAGGCCAGGTCATATACAAAGTCTAAATCGCCTAGTTCACTGCGACCTGTCCATTATGTTCTCTGCTTCCCCAAGAGATATAAAGGTCTTCATAATCCTGTCAACTAGAAGAAAAAGGAGGAGAGTAGGTAGCCTTGTCTGGCATCGGCCTTCACCTGGAATGCGTCTGTCAGACGTCCTCTATGCCTGACTTTGTAGTGTAGTCCGTTGTGTGAATTCCGGATGATGTTTTACGACCTTCACAGGTACGCCATATCGCCAAAGGTTCCATATGGTTCGCCTATCCACACTGTCAAACGCCTTCTCATAGTCAAGGAAGTTTATGTGTAGTGACGAATTTCATTCAATTGATTGCTCAACAGTAATCCATAATATCGCGATTTGATCTGTGAACGACCGATCCTTACGGAATCCGGTCTGTTGATATCAAAGCTGTGTCTGCTGAATCGTTCACCAGGTTCAGCAAAACTCTGTTGAAAATGTTTCGCGGTACCGATAGTAGTGTGGTGCCTCTGGAGTTCCCACATTTGTTCAGATATCCTTTATTTGTTATCTTTGTTATCAGAATGGTCAGGTCCTTTCCTGATCACCTCTCTGTGATTGATTGCAGCCTCTCGTAAAACCGATCTTTATCATTGTCGTTACTATTAGTGATGGGTGCATAACATTGAAAATACTCGTTGTGATTCCCTCCTGCCTTGTTTTGAAAGGTGCTTTGATGATACTGGGTTCGTGAGATTCCCATCCTATAAGTGCATTACGTGCTTCTTTGGAAAACATCAGTGCAACTCCTTGAGTGTGTGAGTTATTATCTTTTTTGTGACCAGAGTAGAGGAGCATTTCTTCCAAATATATCCTTTTCTGTACATCTTGGGTCCAATGGGTCTGACTGATTCCGAGCACCTCCAAGTTGTATCTCCTCGTTTCTGTAGTTATTTGGTTAGTCCTCCTGGACTCTTACATTGTCCGAACATTCCATGTACATATATTAATTGTTGCTCTGGTTGTTAGAAGAAGCATTGGCCTCGCGACTTCCGAAGAATATCGGCTTTCACTATGGGGCGTCATAAATTTTCTGAATGAAGATTCTTTAACTTCCAGGGCATTTTACATGGTTCAAATCGTTTATTCTGGTTAGCGTTTTTCACCAAGGTTGTTTTCTACGGGGTGTGGATGCTGAACCTATGCCAAACCTTCCCCCTTTACGGAGGGTCGTTCGAATTCAGGAAAAAGTTATTCACATACACGTTACGGTAGGCAGTTATATGAAAAGGCAGAAGAATTGTTTACGGTATCTTCACCTAGTGGCCATGAAAATCGTCCTTTAAATTGAATATTTTATTGCAAATATTTAATGGTAGCAGTCAGTCTCATCGAGTAAACAATGTGTACGCATACACACAAATAAACAGTAATTATTATCATACACAAACAGTCTTGGTACAGTAATCAACAAATTGATTAGGGTTAAGGTCAAATATGAAACTCTAATTTTCGTAAATGAAGAACTAAGCAATGAAAAATAATATATAAACATACAGGTAGCTGACGCCCTTTTGTTTCTATTGGTAGGAAAAGGGATACAATTGAGACTACCAGGGTTACAGAGGCATATAAAGATAAAGCTCCAATTTCCGATACTTCTGGCATCATTACTTGAGCTACATAAGGTGTGACCATTGCACCCAATCGGGCAATCGAACTGAACATCCCGACAGCTACTGCACGAACAGTTGTAGGATAGACCTAAAAATAAAGATATGGGGTGGGTTCGTATACAATAATGCAGCTTTAATCGATTAAACTCTAAGTATAAACTATTGAAAATCACTTGAAGTATTCAGTCAGTAATAAAAATTCAGTAAAACAATAAATGAAATGTGACGGCAGTGTTATGCGGCTATTTTTTTAATGTCACTTAAAAGGTAAATCGAAAACGAAGCTGTTTGCTCTTACCGAAAGACAATCAAGTTAATCAACAAAATGAAATTGTCTGAATTCAAGAGAATTGTTTAAACCATAAAAATAAATAAAACAAATATTAGATTCGATTATGTTATATTAGCTAATAAAATTATATACCCTAGGAAGAAAATGTGTATATGAATAAAAAACGCTAGTACGATTTATAACAATGTTATTATATAAGTGTAAGACGTCGAATCATTATATTGAGCGAAGATGCCTTTGAATTTCTTAGAATTAAAAAAAAACATTTATCACATTTGCTAGTTAAAAGTTTCTTTTGTAAGAAATGAGATGGAGTGGCTAGCACAAACTACTTACGAATACAAATAACTTCCAAAATACTTATGTGTAAACACATACCTCTGTTGTGTAAACGTATGCAAGACTGAATAAACCGGCAGACAAAGCGCGCAAAACAAACAATAGAGCCGTTAAGGCTGATTTAGGCATACAAAGATAAAGTAACATAAACAGAACAGCTATAAGTCCATTCCACGTAGCCAAAGTAACCTTTCTTCCAGCTAAGTCGACCATGAGAATCATCAATGGTATACCTGGAAAAAAAAACAGACAGGTGACCGAAAGAACCATACAAAATGAATTTTACGAAATGAATAGTAGCTGATTTGAAATCACGAAAGGAAGGAAAGACTAAGTAACAAAGAGATAAAGTACAGTCAAAGCTTTTAAACGATTCTCTTAGGTAAATAACTATTAATTCGATAGTTCACAAGTCGATGATCCACTCACACAATTACTTCACATTTACATGCAACATTACATAGTAATTGAGAAGTAAAAACAGTCAGGATTACTTTTGTCCCATCTAAGGCTAGTTAGAGTGATATCGGAAGCAAATATTAGGATTAATAACAGGTCTGTGAATGTGAATAAGATAGATAGTATTTTCCTAGTTAGACGATGAGAACGAATAATATAAATCACGGAAGTATTACAAGAAAGTAAAGTCAAGAAAAGAGAAAATGAATATTCAATATTCTTTGGGATTTAAGTTTGACTGTAGGTGTTGCACTAACGTGGAACTAATCGAAATATTAAGATACTAGCGAATGCGAATGATACCAACAGATCATGGATGACCAAAAAAGGAAGCTAGAGAGGATACTCACATCAGAACATTTGAGAATATTGACAACAGAGATCGAGATATCAAGCAGACGACATAGAGGACAAAGAAACACTCAAGAAAAAAAACGAATCAAGATTTCAAAGCCACCCATAGAAGAAACACAAACAACTGTGTGGTCATTCTTGCAAAACAACCTCTGATAAAGAAAGAAGAGAATCTCCGAAAAGCATTTAACTACAATACACGTGACGTTTCAAAAAACTAGAATTCTCCGCCGCATTAGAGTCATCACTCAAAACTGTCGGGATAAAGGAAAAAACTCAGTAGGAATTAAGACAAACCATAGTACCACTAACTCGACAGAAGACAAAACCCAAATGACCGCACAAGAACAGACAGTTTTAAAGAATCCAGTGTACAAAAGTGCGCTACGGTAGTTATGGACAAGGAACAATTAATCAGGATGCTTGAGGATGAAAGGATATACAAATCAGTGAACAAAAATCCAATCAAAGAGTCCGACAACCAAATGTTAAGGGACTTTAAACAAGTTTGTCAAAGCAGGAGAAATATCAAAGCAAGATCAAAGGAGAACGGAATCCAGTGGACCAGTACACCCTCGACTCAATAGTGGGCCGAAAATGCACAAGCTAAATACCCACATTACGTCCAATCGTGTCACTCCTCGGAAGACCAACATACAATCTATCAACAGAAATGTCAGGAATGTTGGAACCTTTAATGGATTTATCCAATAACGCGATCAAATCTACCATAAAATTCTTGGATAAGGTTAAGGAGATTCAGATAAACGAACTGATGATATCTGTTATGTTTGGTCTTTGCTAATTGTTATGTCGGAATTGCTTATTACTTATAGTTGTAAAACGAGGAACCACTGTAATTCCCACGACGTGAAGTAAGAACACCAAGACTGGTACAAGTAAAGATTTATTAATCTCAAAACAAGACGACGACCCTAGTCTAAAATATATTCATTCATATATTGATTTTATACTTATTTTGATTAATAACTAGGATGGAATCACATGTATAAAAAATACCCAGAGTTATAACGAACCACATGCTACGTGTCATGCAGAGCGTAGTTAAGGTTAATTTAATACAAGGAATATCATATCTTGAATAAAACACCACACTCGAATTACTGTTATCCTGAATAAAATATCACACTGGAAATTAAAACAAATATTGCTCCGAATAATTAACGCATTGAATTACAAACGGAAATAATGTTGACCAGAAATAACAATGAGCAAAAAGATGTAATTCTTCTTTTTAATTCCGTCATATCAATATCCTTCGATCTGACAGCCTTATTCATCTCGACTGAAACAAGCTTATCAAAAGAAACTCTATCGTCGCTAGAAAAATAATTCAAACAACAAATTATCATTCTTTGACGTATTATTCACCAGAATGGACACAGGAAAACTAAAGACACAAGTTTATCAGAAGCCGACCCACACAAATCAAATTTTCAATTACAGTACCAATAACACAAGGACTCACAAAATAAACTGTGTACGAGCTTTATTCAAGATGACAAGAACACACTGGAGCACATTTGCAGCGCGGAAAAATAAAGAAAAGTATCTAATGTCTATCCTTCAAAAGCATCAAATCCACTCGTCAGTAGAAACGAAGTCATGTATAAAAACCAACAAACAAATCATCCTACCATGTATAAAAGACATATCAGAAATTACAACGAGATTATTGAAGCCGCTTGAAATAGGTGCAATACGCAAACTAGCAAAATCAATTCAATAAATCCCAAGCAAACCAAAGAACGAAATGATAAAAAAGAGCTGAACATCGTCAAGTTGTGAAAAACACTGCATTCGGCAAATCCAAGGACCTTTTCATCTTCGCCTGCATAAACATTAATTAGGGAGCAAACTCCTTGAGACATCTTTGTTTATATCAAAGCATGTGAACAACTGTGGACACATATTCGACTGGGGAAATGTTGAAATCTTGGATAGAGAGAATACTAAAAACACCAGAGAATTTTTAGAAGCTTGGCGTCCAGGTCAATTGGCAATCAACAAACACATCGATTCAAATACTTTACTTTTACCTGAAGTTTGGCGCTGATATGTTGCTCGGAAGAACAATGAAAGCTCCACAACTAAACCATCCAGCTCAAAAAACAAAACTCCACTTGAAAATGAATTTTAGTGATTGACTACTTGAATGACTAGTACATCACATTCTACTCTGATTGTTAATTTGAAAATTGAGGAAATCATATGTATCTAATTACTCACACTACTTTAACATAGCTCTTAGACTTCTTAAACTATTGTCCAAAAAGTTAAATGACAACTGTAAAGCAATAAGACAATGGAATAAACTGGTCTGTATTGATCAGTAAGTATAAAAACACTACGTGTATACAAAAATATCTATCGATTTTGTAACAGATTAACTAAATCTACCACCTGTTATACCTTCAGAAATATGTCTTATCTGATATATCCGTATATTGAAAACTGCACTACCGTATATGTATTAGTTCAATATTCGAACCCATAAGACTTAAATATAACATATATACTGATAATGTAAAAAAGCAATACAACATATACTTCATATGTACACAAACTTCCCGGAAAACGTATCATTAGGTGACCATCGAATAAAGCAAATAAAATGATTTAGCAAGAGTATGGACAGAGCGTCAACTTAAAATTAGAGGAAAATGCGAATCTAGTTGATCTAGTGCATACAATCTAGTGTCCGAAAACATCTAACCAGTAAAACTATCACCCATACTACGTAGACATACATTTAGTGATTTTTGTCATACTATGGTATAAGAATATTCAATATGGTCTTAGAAAAAAAGTGGTAATTGTCAGTGGAACCTCAGATAAAGTGACGGTGCATTATTTCAAGGAATCTGAAAAAAAGATTATTTATTCGTTGTTCGCCAGATAGCATTTTAAAGACTATTTTTTTTTACAAAATTAACCCAAAAACTTACTGACAAATTCACCAATTGAAGAGACTAGCATAGCCACATAATCATCATCAGACAACTCTTTACAACAAAAGTTGACCATTTGGCTCGAAGTTTCTACAAGTGGTGCGACGTTAAAATGGCTCAGGTTACCACGATAATCTGGTGTTAGAACAGGTTCTAATAAGCAAGAAAAAAACGAAAACCAGATAACTATACTACTGTAGAGTCACTAAAGTCATACACAACGAATTGTTTCTATGCTAATCAAAAACTGTCGTACTATTGAACAAAGAAACAAGCAAAGTCTCTCGAATAAACAGTTACTTGAAGGCAGACAGTTAAACTTACTACCAAAACAAGAGTGCTTGAAGCGAAATATTTCAGCACTTATCAGAACGACGCCATAATAAACAAATGCTGCACTGAACCATATAATTGGCAACATTAATGTAGTTACCAAATAGGTTTTCCCAAACATTCCTTTTATGCTACCTCTATCTCGTATCTATAAAACAGATGAAAAGATAATGATCTTTTTAGTAAGCACAAATAAATGATACATTCTTCATCTGAACAAAAACAACCCTGATAAGAAATGATTACAGAAATGACTAAGACAATTGGAACCCGAATTGGAGGAATACAATTTATTCAACTTGAATTTTTTACGAATTGGGACGACCACTGCAACCATTATTATAAGACTCTATAATCGGAGTTCTTAGGATTTTATCCTGAAATCTATCATACGAACTCCCGCAAATACTGTATTCCTCACTAAAATCAAAACTAGTTTAAATGTAGATAAACTCATTTAGTATTTATCTGCTTTTTTATTTCTGGTGATCATCATAACGACTAAATCAATATTAGGGAGAATTCAAGTTGTCCCATAAATAGCTTGGTCAAATTCAATTACAACAACCCTTCGTTCATTACTACTAACACTTCAATCTGCCTTAAAAGAGTATACTGAGGCACATCAGTTTGCTTACAATCGCAAAAGAAGTATCTTAGGTGCTGCTGTTTTTTTGCATCGTAATACAGCACTGAGTTTGGAAAAAGGTAAGAAATATGTTTTATGCGCATTTCTAGACCATACTTCTGCCTCTATTTCGAGAACACAACTACCAAACAACTTTGGCACCATCAACACTGACAACCAAGTGTCTTACCTCTCCGAAAGAAAACTGCGTACCGTGCATAAAGGAAAGTGTTCAACGTTTCTACCAATTCAAGGTGCGCCACAAGTTGTCTTTTCCCTTTTATTTTCTCATTTTTTCTTCTTCACGATCTGCCATTTATTATAGAACATACTTTGTTACGTATGCAAGTGATCTCATTCGATGTACTCCGATTCCTGCCTCTTCACATACCCCTTGAAATGAATGGGTTCTTGTCTCTTATTGACCGATGGTCTGTTTTTAATGGTCTTACACTTGAATACTTCAAATGTCAAACTGTTAACTTTAGCCCGGGACAAGGGCAGTACTCGAATACCCTTTCGGAATCTCATTAAGTTTGTACTATTTTAGAGATTTTGTAATAAAAACAGTGTCAAAGGTTATTTATCTTGACGTAAGTTTTTACTGTGATCTATCTTGAGCTTCTCATGTTTTATTGATATCGAAGGAAGTTTTCCGTTTGACCTACTTCATAAAGAGGCCACATACTTTTGGCATTACTCGACATTTACTTTTACGATTTGTAAATCCTTGCATATTATCTATCATACTTTACTGTTCGAAATCACTACTTTCCAGGCTTTTCAGAAAAGATTTTGCTGTGTTGCGGAGTGCTGAAGAGAGTTAGCAGGGCATGTGGCTCTTGGTAGGTGTTATGTTATGTGATAATAACCATTTATTTTTTTCTCCTTGTGTATTTTCAGGTAGAACGAGACATTAATACATCAGATATCACGGATGTAAACAAAGGTATAAAAGCTCTAAAATGCCGTATCTACCAAATATACTATGAGACGAACAGGTTGTAAAACCTGTCCTGGTCAATAGCTTGTATTCTTAAACATGTTTCCAATTAGAAAGTTGTATAGATTCTTATTGTATTAAAAAAACATTTACATTCAATTTCAGACAGTTTATTTACTAATTTCATGTATATATGTATGCACCTATTGACTTTTTTGTTTTCAGAACAAAATATTTCAATAAGTTTCTTAAACTTATTGAAAAACTTTGTGCTGGGAAGTACATATAGTACGAAACATAATATTGAATAAAACCATAAATAACAGCGATGATAATAATGATTTCACAATGCTATACGCTTAAGCGATGGAGATACTCTGATTTAACTAGAATTTCTCCTTATTAGACACATGGATAAGAAAATTTAATGAGTTGGAGCAAAACGTGTGTAGGGATTATTTTTCCTAATCTATGACGAACACTTTCATTACAAATGAAGAGTAACAAATACTACATTGATTAAGGGCTTGGGGTTCTTTACTTTAAGCATCAAGTACATCTCTTGACATAAAGTGATAACACAAGTGGAATTATGGGGAATAAAGATTCGAGATAGTTGGATGAACAAGCGGAATAGATACACTTGGTCCTAGATTTCCTGTCTGAAGTGTGCACAGAAATGTAGGACAATGAACTAACTCTCAGGTTGCAGAAATTGGTTGCTGAAGATTTTATGTAAGGTGATTTAAAACTATATTTTTGCAGTGACAAATAAATAGCCTATGGCGAGATAAACGTTGAAGATATTTTGTTTAGCTCTTACTTCATCTTTTTTTCTCTTCGACATACTTCTGCGTTATTTATAATTTCTGTGCGAGTTTCGAAATTAATGGTGACGTGACACCTTCAATAAGTACAAGTTTCATGAACTTGGTTTTGAGCCACACCACTTGTATGCAGAGGGTAGTAATGTTACCCAGCTACCCGTACTAAAGTGACACTGGGTTCGAATCAGTGACCTGTAGGTTGAAAGCCGATTGCTTTAATCACTAAGCTGTCAGATTAGGAATTATAGCAACAACTGACTTGAGCATCCTCCAATCAATACCACAATTTCTAAGTGTAAAATATCACTCCGAAGGACCTCTTTTGAATCTTCAAAAATTCACTTGAAGAACTGTGCAAGACGCAGTTAACGTCTTAACAAATCCAAGGAAATAGGCAATGCTTAGAATGTTACAGGCAGAGATCTTAACTGCAGGTTTTTTTAATCACTTGTAAAAATAGGTGTATGCAAGGCAGTTAATTGTTAAGATATGGATCTAATGGATAAGAATAAGATTTTGTAGACCCTTTAGAAAAAACAATTGCTAAAGTAAAAAACGTAAAGACTTTTTTGGGTATCTCAGTTAAATTTTGTCGACAAGAAATAATAGTTTATTAGGTACTCCTGTTTAGCTATTCTCCATCCCATTGGGTAGTTGACTGGAGGTCTGTATCTTACACTTGTTGGTAGAACATGCTGACGAAGACACTCGTGGAGAAAATACAGGTTTTCTCGAGTGGAAGCCTGCCTTTCGACGAAATTCTCCTATTTTCGAACAACGAGAAGCTTACTACGCTAGTATGATTTTGAGGTGGTGGAGATTTGCAGCTCAGATGGATGATTTTGATGGAGTTTTGTTCTCTTAGCTAGATGGTTCGGTCGTGGAGCTTTTATCATTATTATGGACGGCATCATTAGAACAAACTTCAGGTAGAAGACTTCTATCTGAAGTTTGTCATTGTTGAGCAACAATTGATCAGAAAAAAAGACTCAATCAATAGAAAGATAATGATCATATTCAAGGTCACTCTTTTGGTGGCTTCATAAATATACTTCTCATAAATTAAACATAGAAAAGCAAAAGTAATTCATGCAGTAGGTAAACAGAAAATTATGTGAATAAATAAATCACAATACTTATGTCTGACATTGAATCGATTTTGAAAAAGCTACATGAATCAACAGATACGTACTTTAGAAAAAAGGTGGATGTTGTTTAATAAACAACTAAACAAACGAGAATCATAATACATATTAAATAGATAGAAAGGCAGTACTAACTACAGTGCCATAAACTAAAATAGTTGGCAAGTAAAAAACTTCTTGCTAATTGAATTTCCATTAAGACGTGGGATCCTCTTGCAGAAGTTTGAAACTTGATTCTTCAATAAATTGTTGAAGTTCAAACATAACGACAGCAGCCATTCTGAAATCTCGTTCGGAAAGTAAGAAGTTTAGGCTAGCAAGAGTCATAATAATTTGGTCTGAATCGGAAAAAAAACTCGAAATTCTTTTATGTACATGTTTTATATCATCTTGATAGATCGAAGAGCAGGTAAGCACTCAACATTTGTCATGATTAAAGAGACATTGTATCTTTGGTGTAACAGCAGTTTACAGCAACAAAAACACATAGATTAGACCTTGATATATTCTATTCCATTGAAAAAAGTCTGAACAAGGTTGACTACCCAGTTGTAAACTAAACAGGATAATAGTTTTTGGTAGAATGGTTTCATGAATACATTTCATATTTTGAGGAAGTTGTCATCACAAATATATATCACCAAGTAAACCTATGTGAATAAGATAAGACTAGACAGGCATTTGGTTCGAGTCTAGATATTCTTGAAAATGACGTTTGTTTGTTACGAAAATTACCAACAAATAATACAGAAAGTCTGTATAAAATCCCCTTAATAGCAATTGTTCTATTGGGAAGCTGTGAACTATGCAGTCAAGATAGTTATGGGAAAGACAGATACGCATCAACGATACAACGCGAAGTGGGGGATGTTTCAATGAATTTTGACTTAGTAGTTGGATGACATCGTGATCGTCGCAAACTCTAGAGGTCTTGAGTCTGACTGGGTCAGTTAGGATGAGGGTACAATGCTTAAGAGTAATATACTAAGATTATACAAGGAAATATACGGTCTGGCATAGAGACTTTTTCACACAAGTCGCTATATCATATTAACACAAATACATGAAATTAGCAAGATGAGTAGAAAAAGAGATCAGAATAATGTAGTTGCTATCATAAAAAGACTAAACCTTGGGAATATGTTCACTTGGTGTTGTATACTTGTATCTTCCTATTGTTACTTAGGTCTACAATTGATCAGTCTCTTGTTGGCATATGTGCATCCTATGCGGACTGCCTCGATATTGCCTGAAGTCACTATGGGAAGATACAAGTATATAACACCAAGTGAATATAACTTCACCCCATTGCACAAGCAAGTGGCTATCAGGACTCAGTAGGTGGGTGGATAACGCGACTGTGTTTGAAGCGAACGATACTGGGTTCGAGTCCCAGAGTGAACATCAACTCTGAGGTGCAGGTACATCCGGCTGACGAGTTCCAAATAGGATGAAACACGCGTCGTGGATTTCACTGCTATCCACTATCCATCTTTGCTTGGGAACATGGTTTCCAAAGACAGTGGGAAAGTATACATGAAGGGATATTGAAATTCAAGATATGGAGGAAAATAGATAGTGAATACATCTGCACCACTGCAAACAATTCTGAACCATGTCACCTTAAGTCTTCAGACGTTGGTTTCGGTTATCACCCAGACCACAACTAGGTACTCTACATTGCTCAGACTAACAGTTAATGACTCACTGAACTGATGCTATGTTTTGGTTTGTCGCCGCTATTTTCTAACCCACTCTTACACTAGAAAACATCACTGTTTAGGTAAGTGATGTCCTGACCATCTTAATCAACGAAGATTCATAAAATTATTAACCGGTTTTCCAACATTCTCTAAGACCTTATTCCTAATCGCAACATTGCCTACTCGGTTTTTTCACAAAAAGCAAGCTATGCTTCGAAGACACTTATGATCGGAAACCTAGTCCTCTATCATCGAAAACTATGTTTCACAGCCATAAAGTAATACAGGGTAAACTCTTGTGCAGTATACAAGCCCTATGGTTGAATTTCGCCTATCCCATAGGTGAAGTTGAAAAAGGCTGATTGGGCTTTCTGAATCCGTGCTGAGATTTTGCCGGATACTAGACCATCAGCGGATGGTGAGACTTCTAAAGTATGTGAAGTGGTCAACGCACTCAACCATTCCACTCCTTATCATTGGTTTAAGCATTGACGCAGATCAAACCTGAAGGATTTAAAGGGGAAGAAACGCATCCCAATATGCAAAAGGTTGTATTTTATCATTATCTTTACCAAATAAAACCATCCTATGTGTCCATCCTAAGTTTATGAACAAACCTTTTGGTAGGAAACTAACTTCTGAAAAGTTAGATGAGGAAAGTGTTATTTCTAAGAAGATATCTATGAAAAATTTAAACAAAACGGGGGGACTGCCGAACATTATTTGAGGTCGACAGTTCTCCATAAGCTTTGATTTGACCAATGGATTAGTTTGTAAAGAGCCTGAAGACGACTGATGTGCTTCAATGTCAAACACTGCCACAAAATATTTCGGTCTATGGAATCAAATGCTGTCTTAAGATCAAGAAATATAACCATTGTCAGGCATCTGTAAATATACCCATATTCTAAAACCTGATGAAGAGTGAATATTTTGTCTGCACATCCATGTCCAGGTCTGAGACCAGCCTGGTTTTCGTAGGTTTGCCCTTTGTGAAGCCTAGTTAAGCATCTGATGATTATGGAGACTAGCGTTTTTAACACTACATTAGTCAAACTGATTCCTTTGTGATCATCAAAGGATAATTTTTGTTCTTACAAACTGGAACGATCAGAGATCGATACGAGTTAGATGAGATTATGTTTAGCTCCCAACATTCAGATAATATCTCAGTCAAACTTAACTGCCAAATCTGGAACACCATCCTAAATGATCTTCGGGTTAATCTATTAGAACCAGCTGTTCTCCCTCGCTTTAGATTAGCTGTAGCGTTTTTTAAACCTAGAACGAAACTACTACTTAGTCCCTCCTTACTCTGAATGGTCAGTTCGTTGTGAGGGCGAACATAGTCGGTAACAAATTAGCAATGATTTCACAAAATTGGAGGAAATATATTATGATAAAATGCATACTCAATATGTCAGCCAACAAGATTTGAGCACTTAATAAACACGCATACCGATATAATATCAAAGGGCAAAGCCAATTACAAATACCAACTAGAGTTTAGCATGTATTTATTAAGCTGACGACGTTCGAGAAACAGAATAAAATTATGCTGAACAATACAACAGAAGTGTTTGGTTTTTGACTTACAGGTACAGTGGATGATACAAGAGTACCACTAAGGGGAACAACTCGATTTGTACGGAACAAATCTGCAATGATACGTTCAGCTTCTTCAGTTTTTCCGGCACCAACAAGATATCTTGGAGACTCAGGCAGAAACTAATATTTGAAAATATTACGAAGGAGAATTTTAAAGTAATTTAGCGAATGGGATAACCTGAGGTAATGATTCAACACAAATAAAAGTTTACAAGCACATGTAACTATAGAGCACTGATATTTAGAAAATCAGGTTATTTCGAGGTAGAAATAAAAAAATATAATCAACCATGAGAGTGTCAATTACATTGATAATATATTTTTTGCAAACGATAATGTATTAATCATTATTCAATAATACCACTGAAGTGTATGATGTAAATTTACGGAATACAGTACAAAACTATGTGTAAATTAATAGAGAGATCAGTTAGCTTATGTATAGATCTGTTATATCCCCCGGTGAATTACGAATGGTAACTTTTAGGTCTATTTATGGATCAATGTAATATGCCTATTTCCTATTGTACAATTATTACGTAACTGCACTATTCATATTTGTGTTTCTCTTATCATGAGCTTTATTTTGATCTTTGACTTATTATCATATGATTCTTGAGTTATAATCAGTTTATTGATTACTTGGTTTGTATAAAAACCCAGTGTGTCTGTAAATAATGATTCATACCACTGAGGCTGTTATTGGTGTTTTGGGCTTAACTGGTTGGGCTAAGCAGATCGCAGGACCGGTTAGCACTCTAGTCTGCTCGTACGGGTTTCGTGTCACTGTTTCAGTCGATAATTCGCTGCTCCCTAATTGGCGGTCTCATCACCTCACCCATCAACTAGTCATCCACTCGGCCACAAGAAATAACAGTTTGGTGGAGGTGCCCTACTGAATGGTCTACTGAGCAAGAACAGTACGTGGAACTGGAGTAAAGAGTGTGACAGCGTTTTGTAAACTGAAGTCCATTATCAGCTCGAAATTGTTATTAACGCACTACGATCCATGCATGCCGATCATTGTAGCTGCAGATGCCTCAGCGTATGGCTTAGGAGCCGTCATTTCTCATCAGTTTCCAGACGCATCAGAGAAGGCTGTCATGCACGCATCCCGAACGCTGACCCCGGCAGAAAGAAAGTATGGCCAGGTAGAGAAGGAGGCTCTTGCCCTAGTCTTCGCAGTGCGTCGTTTTCAAAAGTTTCTTTATGGTCGGAGATTTACTCTCCTAACTGATCACAAGCCTCTCCTTGCGATTTCTGGTTCGAAGTCTGGCGTCCCGGCCCACTCTGCAAACCGTCTTCAACGATGGGCCTTGATCCTCTTGGGTTACGATTTTGACATTCAGTATCGACGCACCCAACATTTTGGTCAGGCAGATGCATTGTCACGACTTATCAGCGAACACCCTACGACCGACGAAGATGCCGTTATTGCTTCTCTTTCGACAGAAGACCACGCGCAATGCTACCTGACAACTGCTGTTCGTGCTTTACCAGTCTCAGAATCTGAGATACAAACTGCTTTCAGAAACGACTCCATCATTAAGAAAACGATGAACTACGTCACCAATGGCTGGCCATCAACTAAACTAGACGGTGACATGAAGCAGCTTTACCATTGTCGTGACTCTTTATGTGTCGTAAATGAATGCTTGATGTTTGGAGATAGTGGTGGTGCCAGAACCCCTACGACCGAGGGTGCTGAAGCAATTTCACGTTGGCTATCCCGGGATAAAGCGTATGAAATCTATCGCCAGAAGCTATGCTTACTGGCCCCTCATGGACCAGAACATCACGGATCTAGTAAACAAATGCGTTCAGTGTCAGCAAGCAGCGAAGTGCAATGCGAAGGTGTCGCCGGTTCCATGGCCACAGCCTGAGTATCTCTGGTTTAGGATACATGTCGACTTTGCCGGTCCAGTCAACGAAACCACTTATCTTGTTGTAGTCGACGCTTTCTCAAAATGGCCGGAGATTGTACCCGTCACGCCACCAACGACCACCCAGACTCTGAAACATCTGACTGAGTTGTTCGCACGAAACGGATTACCGGAAGTGATTGTATCCGACAATGGGTCGCAGTTCACCTCATGAATTTACGAATAATTATTGAGTTCTGGGCAAGTTACTATAAGAATGATTAGGTTCTGAAAGTCGTCCAGGTTTACTAACTAAGATGAAAATATGCATCGACTGTTTGTCAGTTCCCCAGTGATCTTTCACAATGAATATTGTTTCCAATTCTGTTCGAACCTCTAATAAATTAAGGAGTTGAACATCTACGTTGCAATATTAAGCAAATTCAACATCTATGATTATTCATCTATCACAACTTGTACTGAAAAAAAGAATGCTAACTGGCTACTACACTTTTTGTTGGAGATTCGTAGGACTAAACTGGTCAATCTCTGTTAGTTTTCGACTAACTGACTAGATATTTTAATAATGTTTGTACTTGTATCTTGTTTATGACTCAGTAGTTAGTGAAAATCAGGATGTTTCGAAACTAATACCCATCGCTTCACTCACTAGAGTATTATTCTCCAGTTTAGTGAACCACCAGAGCTGCTGTTGGTTCAACAGGTAAGTTTTCACTAGGGCCTAAAATTTAGCATTATTGATTAATCCCTCAGATATTAACAGAGACTGACTTATTCAATTCCAAAGATGAGCAGCAGGAAATTCAAAGTTTTAACAAAAAGAATCACTACAACCTAGATAACTTCAAGGAGAAATAACCAGTCACATGATTGTCACAATACGAGTTTAATGAATGTTAATTATTTAATAAAGTCTGAAATAAATATATCTCAAATTTAGATAAAATGGTATCTTACCCTCAATAAAAATAAGAAAATCAATAGTGGTAAGGCTGAAACAAATACCAGCCATCGCCAGCCAAATCTTGGTAGAATAAGGTATGCCAAACCGACTTCAAATGTGCTTCCAAAAGCCCAGAATATCTAGACGTTAATATGTCGAGAAAAAACCATAATATATAAGAAATCTAGAGGTGAAAAGTATAACCTCCCAATGAAATTAATTGGATAAATGCAAGTCGAAACTACTGCATGATAATTTTCTTAGTAATATAACCGGTCAAAATAGGAAGGAAACAAAAAATAGTAGTGATGGATCAATAAAATGCTTGTTTATTAGGAGCAACTGATTCTAATTAATGCAGCACATTAATGATATGGGTAAAAAATGTGTTCGCTGGATCACTGTAGAGTGATTATATTTTGTATGGGATTGTGGAATATCAGATTAAGAAAGTCAATAACGAAGATTAATTACCTATGAAGATACGTGAGTTCAACAGACGCAGAATCTATATAAAAGTAGAGCAAGCAATAATGAAGAAAATATCTTTCCATGATTTTCAAAAACAATATATGATTACTTAGTCAATAGTTTAAGTAAACATATTAAGGAAGCTCGAAAAAAGTTAGCTTCAGTAACTGTAAACACAATAGAAGGGTGATATACAAACCTTCAAAGACAATTTGCTAATTACTGATAAATACTGATAAAATAAGTGAATACTCTGAATGATTTATTAGTATAATCACGGCAGCTAGATGGTGATTGGCAGATGAAAAGAGAGCAAGGCAGGTAAATAGAAAAATCGTAGTATATCTAATCAACAGAAATATAGTGGGGAAAAGCATGTCATCTTTCGTATTTATACTACGAATGATTTCAACTCATTGTCTAACAAGAAATTAAACTCAGAAAGAAGCTGATAATGCATACGAACTGATACTGTTGAACACTTGCAGTAGTATAAAACGGTGTCGCTTGATAAATGTAGAACAGTAACAAAAATTTTTTTGTATTTCATTTGAAATATAAGATTGATGGTAAGGAAAACTGTCAGAAGTTAACTGGAGACAAACAATTAAGTAATGTGTTATAATACTAAGCAAGACAAAGATATAAAAGAAATGAATAAAAAAAACTGTTTTATAGAAATAATAAGACCACATTTGACGAACTTATCAACCATTAGTTTATACTAAGACAATGAAACCCGTGGGCACAATTAATTGGAATAAACCATTTGATTGTTTCTTTTTATCTTCTTACTTCATAGAGGAACTTGACGACAAATAAATGGCATAACAACTTACATTGAAAGCTAACAGAACTTTGGCCCGATGCTTAACGGTCAGAAATTCGGAGAATAACGTGAAGCTAAAAATGGGATGAACAGAAATAGGGAATTAACAAACTGACTTTATAATCAAAAACTACGAGACTTAAAGCCGTATTGTAATGAGAGAGATTCACGTGTTCAAACTATTAAGTCAATGCTCTCGACCAAAACAGTGGTAATATGAATACCGGTATGATCGATGTCTTCATTCAACTCTAATCACCACCCCTATTGTACACGAACACAATCTGCCTAAAGCGTTGGCATACCATTGATCACAATAAAAAACTCCAGTGGTAGTTATTAATAATAAATAATCATCATACTTATAAAAACTATCCTGAATGCGGGTAGCAGTTACAATTGTCATAGGATATTTATTTTATTTTAATAGAGTGGTCGATAAAATGTGTCTAGAAACCCTGGTAAGATGACCATAACGTTAACATTATCAATAAGAGTAATGATAAAAATGCTATAACTCTAGAAAATTGATATGATTAACACAGGTAAAACTGAAATAAAGTGTGAAAACAACAATTTTCATTTGGTAGATATGATAATTGGTATTTAGAACAAAGAATGACTGACCACCAATAAAGTTCTTCATAGATAAGTGACATATATACCATTAAGAACCAAGTCTACTATAACTAACCCAAAACATAGGTTGAGTAAATTAATGCCATTGTGATAAACCACATTTTACTTCGTTAGTGAACAGAAATTAGTAAGCCTAATTAACCTCCCAGATGCGAAGTACATCTGCAACTTACAAGATATTTTTGGTTGCTTTAGCAAAGCATTGCAGCTAATGACCTTACTGATAAGTTATTCACACTACAATTAGGATTAATATAAAAATAAGTGAATCATGCACATGTTGAATTCATTTAACTTGAACTTCATCCGGGTATTTAGTCGGTTAAAATTCCACTCCCCTAAATCAAGTATTTTCCAAAGACAATAAAGTCATTTTATATTTTGCAAAGTACTGATATTCATCTGGCAAAAATGACTCGGATAATAAAGTTTTTTATTTATTTTATTTATACACATAAATATTGGTACAAAAAGCACCAGATAAATATGCGCCTCACAAATCTCATTTGATTTGTGTGAGGGCTGAGATACTGCCCAGGTGCCCAGACTGAAGCAGGTGGATAATAAAGTTGTTACTGAACAATGATCTGCTCTAGTTTCAGCTAAAAACAGCATTGATACATTATCAAGTGTAGATCAAAGAGCTTCCGAATTTTCTACGAGTTCGGAACGCAGTCTAAACATTTGTAATTGAAGTTACTTAAGCGTTTTCCGGTAACTCGTATTTTTTTAACTATCAGAATGTAGAGAGTATATACGTTAAGTACAATTGAACATTCGTTAAACACAAAAGAATGATCGCGTAATCATCGGTAGTTGGAAATTTAAGAAATTCATTTAAGCAAACTAACCTGCTATTTCCACCACCAATAGCGAATCCAACCAGAAGTCTTAATATTATAACCCAAATATAAGTGGGGGCACAACTTGTGATGATACCGAAGTAAGTTATCATTGATAAAACAATCAATAAAGTCTGTTTAAGAAAATAAAGTTCTTAGTTATATAAATTATTATGACCGATACTAGTTATGCAAAGTTAAGTAGTAGCATAACACTGAACATAAGAGTGAAAGCGATGCCAATAAACTCCAACCAAACTTCTACGAAGCCCCCAAAGACTTTTCGACTAGCACTCAATTACTGAGAAGACAAAAGAAAGTAAGATGCTTATTTTCTACTCCAGCTGAGTGGGTATTCATAGAATTTTTTGATGTTCTTGGAGATCAGCTGTTTAGAATGGGAGCTTCGTGGACCATAACTCAACGGTACGGGTGCGATTTATGAAAACTTAACGTTTTGACTGATTTAGGTCAAATTTCTAGCGAATAATGCATTTTTCAACATAAGTAGAATGAATAGATGGACGGTGATGCCGTACAATTTACATGAGGGTAAACAATGTTGAACGGGGGACGATAGCTCTTAAGCTAGCTCTTTTTAAACATAGGACGAGATCTATCGGACAATAGTCCAAAGTTAGGAAGTTCCGAACTTTTTCGTTTTCCATAGTACTACATAGTAGTTCTACTATTTTGTTAAAACTATGCGCCCTTAAAAAGTTGAATACAAAACTGAAAGAGTTGACTGACAACAGCTAGTTTCCCCCGGTATTAGCATGAATTTCAGTCAATGAACCTCATTCTTGAACAAACAACTTCCCAAAAACTACAACTTCAAGATACTGTCTTAATAAAAGTATATCAGGTATTAGAATGTACGAATGGAGAGTACAAATGAGGAATGAAAACACCAAGTCCATGTAATAATAATAAGACTAATGTCAGTCATTTACATAATTAAATATTGTCTTTACGTCTGAAATATGATACAGGTACACTGAATCTTTAAATCAATAAACATCTGGTGTCGATACATAAACAAATAATACTTTTAATATTTAATTAGTAAGTTGCTTTTCTAACTCCGCTTATAGCTCTTCTAGAGCTACTGCCGGTCCCAAGCCCATAAAAAGGAGGAGGGTTGGGCACGGGTTTAGCGATCCCATCCCGTAGAAAAACCAACTCGCTAAAACTACGCTAACCAGAAAAAATAATTCAAACCATTTAAACTCTACCCTCCAAGTTGAAGGAGGAATTATGACGCCTCATGATGAAAGCCGAAATTCTTCGGAAGTCACGAGACCGATGCACCTTCTAACAACCAGAGCAACAAATTTTATAGGAACATGGAACGTCCGGACAATGTGGGATACCGTAAAGACCAGTCAAATAGCAATGGAAATGAGGAGATACAAACTGGCAGTACTTGGAATCAGCGCAACTCATTGGACACAAGCTAGACAGCAAAGGCTAAATACGGGAGAGATGCTACTGTACTCTGGTCACGAAGAGGAAAATGCTTCACACAATCAGGGAATTGCTCTGATGCTGTCCAAACAAGCACGAATAGCACTTATAGAATTGGAATCTCGTGGATTCAGAATTATCAATGCATCATTCGAAACAAAGAAGGAGGGGATCACAATGAACGTTATCCAATGTTATGCACCCACCAATGATAGCAAAGACGACGATAAAGATCAGTCCTATGAGAGGCTGCAATCAATCATAGCTAAGTGCTTAAGAAAGGACCTCACCATCCTAATAAGGGACCTAAATGCTAAAGTCGGAGTGGACAACATAGGATATGAATATATAATTGGACGACATGGACTAGGAGAGAGAAATGAAAATGGGGAGAGATTTGCAAATCTATGTGCATTCAAAAAATTATAGGTGGCATAATATTTCCAAACAAACGCATACACAAAGCTACATGGATCTCACCGAACCACACCACAGAGAACCAAATAGATCAGATTTGTTTCAACAAAATAATCAGAAGGACAATGGAAGATGTGAGAACCCGGAGAGGAGCTGATATAGCTTCAGATCACTACCTGGCTGTGACTGCCAAGATGAAACTGAAGCTAAAAAAACACTATACAACTGGACAAACAGCACTACAAAGGCTCCCGACCGTTGCTGCTACCTTGACGTGGTGGTCGGGCTTGCCTATCGTGATGATCCAATCGAGCTATGCTGGCTGGAACAATCGTTCCTCAAGGTCCTACCATGCCAGACAGGTCGGTTGAAGAGCGGTGAGACTAAAAGCAGCAATCCCGAGGTCCGAAGGCGAAGTCGTACTGCTGACTGTACAGAGGTGTGAAAGCAGTAAGGTGTTTCCTTCAGACAACCAGTATGACAGCGATGCTGCCTTCCCACAAGGAGGGGTGGGGTTAGAAAAGGTCGACCCTAAAAATGCATCCCACGGATTTCCGTCTCCGGCGGTAAGGACTTTTGAAGAACGGAGCTAACACATCAAAAATCCCCCACAAAAAGGCCGTGCGTGACCGGCCTCAAGCAGATGTCCCTTGGGCTCTGCGGTCACGCTCCCAGGTCGTTAAGACCAACACTAATCCAACTTCTTTTTCAGGTCCCTCAAGAAATACCCTTCCACGGTGTGGGCAGCCGGGAAGTGATACTAGCCCTCATACCCTTAACTGCACACAAGACCAAGTTGGTCGCTTTCAAATCCTTCCTACACCTAATAACTCTGTTATCTCCACGACTAACCCTTCCCACGTCCTTTTATCACCTCGCACCGCTAGGGCAAACGATTCGAGTACACAGAACGTTATTCCTGGTCTCCTGAAACCACGCTCTAAACTACATATAGGAACTTTTAATGTCCGAACATTGTGCCAAATAGGACAACAGGCTTCCTTAGCTAGGACTCTAGAATCTTACACCATCGATGCGTGCTGCGTCTCCGAAACGCGCATACAAGATCCGAGTAGTGTCATTCATTTGACCGCACCTAATCAAAATAAAGTTTCATCTCGATACACGCTTCGTGTATCTGGAAGCCCTGATGCTGCTTCCCGTGGCCTCGCTGGAATAGGTATAGCATTAAGTCCTAGGGCAGAACTAGCTCTTTTAGACTGGATCCCAGTAGACAGTCGTCTATGCGCTGTCCGACTAAACGGATCAGTAAGGACCCGGAAAGATAGGGAAACTCGTCGTTGCCTCTTCGTCGTCTCTGCCTACTCTCCCACTGACTGCAGCTCAGACGATATAAAAGATGAGTTCTACAGGAAACTTTCTGACCTTCTCCGAGAAGCTAGGCGTTCTGATGTAGTAATAGTAGCAGGTGACTTTAATGCTCAAGTAGGTAAACTAAGTGAAAGGGAAGGACACCTGGGTGGATCTTATGGTGTCATGGCGAAAAGAACAGATAATGGCGACCGTCTGTTGCAGCTATGCTCAGATAACCGCCTATTTCTTGCAAATACTAACTTTAAGCATAAGGAAAAACATCTTTTGACATGGCGACCCCCGAATTCGTCCCAACCTTGGACCCAATTAGATCACATCGCTATCAGCCACCGATTGAGGGGCTCGATAGAAGACTGTCGCTCATTCTGGGGCACATGTTTAGATTCAGATCATGCTCTAGTGCGAGCACGTATCTGTCTGCGACTTACTGGTCGTAGGAAAGACACTGCAGGGAAGCCTCTAAGGGTTCTACTTAATGATAGGCAAGCTAAGAATATATTTCAGGAACAACTAGGAAAACAGTTAGGCAGCCATGTAAGTTGTGTCCACCCCGAGGCAGCGTGGAATGACATCCGAAAAGCTGTGGAAACAGCAGTGATATCTGCTAGTAAGGTAAACCATAACGTTAGGGAGAAACAATGGATCTCGGCAGCATCTACCGCACTGATAGATGCTCGTAAACTCATCCCACCTGGCTCTGAGCATAACGAAGAGCGGAGTCAACTTAAGCGAAGGCTTATAAGAAGCCTACGTAATGATCGTGAACAGTGGTGGGTAGCGAAAGCAAGGGAGATGGAAAAGGCAGCGGCAATAGGTAACAGCAGACAACTATTCAGACTTATTAAAGAAACCGGTATTAGGAACCCGAATATCAGTGAAACCATCTCAGATAAAGATGGGCATATTATTCATTCTCAATCCAGGAGATTGGATCGATGGGCAGAACACTTTAGGGATCAGTTCAACTGGCCTTCAGCCACACTTCAATTACCCACGATCCCCAGTCGTCCTGAATGGCAAATTGATGTAAGTCCTCCAACCCTCTGTGAGGTTGAAAAAGCTATAGGAAATCTGAAGCGAGGGAGAGCAGCAGGCCCTGACAGGTTGACCCCTGAGATTTTTAAGGATGGTGGTCCAGTACTAGCAGTGAGATTGACTGAGGTCTTAGGTAGAATCTGGGAACTGGACGTAATTCCATCTGACTGGTCCCAATCACTGATTGTGCCAGTCTATAAGAAAGGACAAAAGTCCTCTTGTGACAATCACAGAGGGATCAGTTTGACTAATATAGTGTCTAAAATATTAGCTTCAATAATACTAGGTCGCCTAACCAAAGCTCGTGAAGAGCAGACTAGAGAAAACCAAGCTGGTTTTCGACCTGGACGTGGTTGCATAGACCAGATATTCACCCTACGTCAGGTTCTAGAACATAGACACAAATTCAGACGTCCCACAATAGTAGTATTTCTTGACCTTAAGGCGACATTTGACTCCGTTGATCGTGAGGTTCTATGGCAGTGTTTGTCACTGAAAGGAGTACCAAAGAAGTACATTTACCTCATAAAGGCTCTCTACTCGAACACAACTGGTCGAGTTAGAGCCTATGGCGAACTGTCATCAGAATTGATTACATCAAGTGGTTTTCGTCAGAGCCATCCACTCTCTCCATTCTTGTTTAAATTTATCGTGCTTTTAGAAATAACACTTTCATCATCTTAATCTCCAGGAGTTGAACTTTTACCAGGAGGCTCACTTGTTGACTTAGAATACGCCGACGACATAGTTTTACTCGGTGAAGACGCTGACAACATGCAGAGTCTTCTGACCACTATAAGCAACTATGCAGGCATGTTCGGAATGCGATTCTCTCCCTCGAAGTGCAAAATGTTACTTCAGGATTGGGTTGCATCGACACCTGAACTAATGATAGGGAGTGAAGTAGTTGAGCGTGTAGACCACTTCACTTATCTTGGGAGTCTCATCAGCCCTTGTGGTCTGGTGTGTGACAAAATCTCAGCACAGATACAGAAGATTCGTCTAGTTTTTGCCAACTTGAGTCATTTATTGTGTAGGCGAGATATCCACCTAACAACAAAAGGATGGGTTTACTGTGCACCAGTTCGTTCTATCCTACGTTATGGCCGTGAAACATGGCCGATAAGAGTAGAGGATATTCGTAGGCTACTAGTGTTCGATCATAGGTGTCTTCGACGCATTGCTCGTATATCCTGGGACCACCGGGTAAGTAATGCAGTTGTTAGGAAACGAGTACTAGGTAGGGATGGCAAATCGATTGATGAAGTAGTGAAACTTCATCAGTTGAGATGGCTGGGACATGTGTTACGTATGCCCGACCACCGACTGCCCCGACGTGCAATGTTTCATGGTGTAGGAGTAGGTTGGAAGAAAGCTATGGGCGGCCAGACCAAAACGTGGCACAAATCAATGAAGTCACTGACAAGTGGACTGGGCCATGTTGGTAGGTGTAGACTACCTGGTTGGGATTCGCGAGATGACAGCAACCGATGGTTAGAGACCTTGAATGACATGGCTCAAAATCGTTTGCAATGGCGAAGGTGCATCCACTCTTTGTGTTCTACCAAATTCTAATCTTCTGAATTCCTCATGTCTTTATGTTTTTCTCTTTCCAAATTTATTTCACTGTACTATACTCCTTCAATAATTTTTTCAAACCCTAATCTTTTGGATTTCTGATTATACTCCTACTACTTCTACCACTATGGGATTTGAATCGACAACTGCATCTCTGTGCTAATGTGGTATGGCAACTCGAACTGATGTACGTACGTACGAAGTTCTACGTTTTGACTGACTGACTGACTGACAAAGGTTCAACACAACCTTCCTTCGAAATACTGACAATCTCTAAAAATTCAAGATAACTCTCAACAACACGTTCCAAGCCCTACAGGATCTACTGAAAGAACAAGAAACTACGATGGAGGACAATTGGGAAGGGATCAAACAAGCACTAACTTCGACGTGTCAGGAGGTTCTGGGTCGCAAGAAGCATCATCATAAGGAATGGATCTCTATGGGAACCCTGAACAGGATTCAACAAAGGAAGAACAAGAAGACAGAAATTAACAACAGTCGAACACGAGCAGAGAAAGTCAATGAGCAAGCAGAGTACGCAGAAGCAAACAAGGAAGTGAAGAAGAGCATTAAAGCCGACAAGCAGAAGTACATGGGAGAACTAGCAACGACGGCAGAGAAAGCTGCAAGGGAAGGGAATATGAAACAACTATATGATACAACGAAGAAACTAGCAGGGAGATATACTAAACTAGAGAGACCAGTCAAGGACAAAGAACGGAAGACAATCACGGAGATTCAAGAACAGAGAAAAAGATGGACAGAATACTTCGAGGAACTGCTATGAAGGTCAGCTCCATTGAATCCACCGGACACCGAAGCAGCACACACTGACCTTCCTATATCTGTCAATCCACCAACGACCGAGGAAATCAAGATGGCCATCAGACAAATCAAGAATGGGAAGGAAGCAGGACCTGACAGTATACCAGCTGAAGCACTGAAATCAGACATTGAAGTAACTGCAAACATGCTTCACATTCTGTTCAAGAAGATTTGGAGGAAGAAGTGTCAACGGACTGAAAAGAAGGATACCTCATCAAGATACCAAAGAAAGATCTGAGTGAATGTGAGAACTACAGAGGCATCATGCTACTGTCAGTACCAGGAATAGTTTTCAACAGAGTGTTGCTGGACTGAATGAAAGACGCAGTAAACGCCCGACTTAGAGTTCAACAGGCTGGATTCTGCAAGGATCGGTCGTGCACAGACCAAATTGCGACACTACGGATCATCGTTGAACAATCAATTGAGTGGAACTCGTCACTATACATCAACTTCATTGACTATGAGGTGTTTGACAGTGTGAACAGGAGAACATTATGGAAACGTTTTCGACACTATGAAGTTCCTGAGAAGATTGTTAACATTATTCGGACGGACTACACTGCAAAGTCGTGCATGGAGGACAGCTGACAGATGCATTTCCAGTAAGGACCGGAGTCAGACAAGGTTGTCTACTCTCCCCATTCCTCTTCCTTCTAGTGATTGACTGGATTATGAAGAATTCGACATCTGACGAGAAATACGGAATACAATGGACTTCTCAGAATCAATTAGATGATTTGGACTTCGCAGATGACCTAGCCCTCCTCTCTCATACACACGAACAAATGCAGATGAAGACAGTAAATGTAGCAGCAGCCTCTGCATCAATAGGTCTCAACATTCACAAAGGAAAAAGCAAGATTCTCAAATACAACACGGAGAACACCAACCGAATCACACTCGATGGCGAAACTCTGGAAGAGGTGGAAACATTCACGTACCTAGGAAGCATCGTTGATAAAAAAGGGGGATCTGATGCAGACGTAAAGGCGAAGATTGGCAAAGCAAGGACAGCATTCCTACAGTTGAAGAACATATGGAACTCCAAACAACTCTCAACTAATTCCAAAGTGAGAATCTTCAATACGAACGTCAAGACAGTCCTACTGTACCGAGATGAAACGTGGAGAACTACTACAACCATTGTCAAGAAGGTATAATTATTTATAAATAGTCGTCTTCGCAAAAAACTCAACATTTACTGGCCGGATACCATCAGCAACAGTCTTCTGTGGGAGAGGTAATTGGGGAAAAACGTTGGAAGTGAATCGGACATACATTGCGGAAATCACCGAACTGCATCACGAGGCAATCCCTAACTTGGAATCCGGAAGGGAAGCGGAAAAGAGGAAGACCAAAGGACACATTACACCGAGAAATAGAAGCAGACATGAAAAGGATGAATAACAAACGGAAAGAGCTGGAAATGATTGTCCAGGACAGGGTTGGATGGAGAATGCTGGTGGGCGGCCTATGCTCTTCCATGAGGGGTAAAAGGCGTAAGTAAGTTTCTTTTCTAAATACTGCTAAAAATCACAAGAAGACTTTAACAAGAGGATGAAAATAAATCCTGGGCGTGAAGATTCCCACAACTAATATACTGAGTTTTCGTCAGAATAATAATCGTGATATTAATAATAATAATAATAGATTTGTGAAAAAATTGTTAGCAGATTCAACTATCTGGATATTAAGTTGAGAATTTAAATAATTTCTATATCATGAAAGCTTACCGGCCAACGACCAAATCTATCTGCGATAAAACCCCACAAAGGAGCTCCAAATAAAAACCCGGCAAAAACAACCTACAACACATCAAAGATCAAAGCAATTAAATTTCACCCAAATGTCCCAATTTCTTTTATCATATTGAAGGTACTCTAATCACCGAACACAAAAATATAAACATTTTGATCAAAAAAGTACCTGGTATTCTTTCGAAACTTAGCAGATTGAAAATCCGTAATTTTGGTTAACATTCACGGGCTGTGATTCTAACCGTACGAATATGGACAACTAGAGATCAACATAAATGTTCACCAGGCTAGTTGCAGATATAGTGTTGTTACAGTAACCTGATGAGATAAGTGGGACTGAGACAAATTTAACCGAAAAGTTGATTAGTTATAAAAAATAGGACCACTAAAAGAGTAACACTGTGGATAAATTGCACCAAACAATACAAAAAACGAGAACTAGCTCGTAATCTCACAACAGATCCAGTTAATAAATGATATTATTGTCTAAGTCGCTTAAAAAGGATTATGAAAAACAATTATAAAGCAAGCGGTATATAATTCCCATTTAAACATTAAAATTAAAACACGAAGTTCAGTGAAGGGATTTCTTTTCAATAAATGTGTTGACATTTCCTCACGGAATTAGTACTTTAACAAAACATTTTCATACATATACGATTGTGCAGCTTGATAATAATAATAAGGCCACAAATACAGTACGAAAAGAAAAGTATAAACTTAATTTTAAGAATATATAAAGATAATCAGATACATTAGACAGAGATCGGGAAAATTGCCAATGAAGCTGCAGATGAGCCCGTAAACAAAATATATACGAAATATTGTTTGGTGGTTGAGTAGGGTATTTTACTTCATCATCAACTCAACAACTTGCAGATTCAAGGTCAAGTCGAATTTCTCATCTCGTGTACTGTCGAAGCTTAAGAACTAGACATTCTAGTTGCTAAAGTTTACAGACTGAAGGGTGATTACGCTATCCTGTAGTCACATAAAATCCAAAGGCTGAGGCAAATCTGCCTTTAATATGCAAACAGTCACTGTTATTTCAATATGATTGAATGACTGTGCATAGCTGTCTTTTTAATTTTTCCATGTAAGGAGAGCTAACAAAATATGCTACTGATGATTATTTTTCTAGGGTGTTTGAATGGTCTACTTGTGGGAGAATTTTGAATCCACACTTAGTCAAGTGCAATGCATCAAAATCCTTCTTATCTGTTGTCAATACATCTAAAATTGATTTTAGGTGTCTTAAAAATACGAATTTAGTTCCTACTTGAGTAGGTTAGCAATCGGATGTCAATCATTATCTCGATCTTGGTAAGTAATTCACTAGCAAACAGCATTCTAGAAGTGAATACTGATATGTGTGAATAAGTGCATCACTCATAAATCAACTGCACACATATATATAAACATATTTTCATAGGACTTAATGATAGGTACAATTTTAAGTACAATCCATCTGTACACTATTATTAAGCTGAAGCTATCTGAAAAATATTCGCAAAAATGTCCAGACTCTTGATACGTCAATTACTAGGACGATTCCCATTTTAAAACCGTAAAAATCCTTACTGTCTCTCTAGTTGTAAATAACAAGTTTTGCATGCTTAATTTGATTGTAACGATGATTACCAGAAAATTTTGATCAAAAGAACTGAGACCGTTTGTTGACCTAACGTGAGATACTGCTTTTCATACAAACACCCATCATTACTAAAGCCTTTTTTAGTAATGAGTGATTGGGATATACAGTTAAAAAAATCTTTAACCTTTGTTTCCCTATTTGCTATTTTATTACTTAATGATACGACTGTTGAGGAATTCTCTGTTAGGCAAACTGTTTTCTTGGATAAAGCTGCTACGAGCAGGAACTTAGACGAATCTTACAATTTTCAAACACTCGCTTCTGTCATTTGGAAGAAGACATCCTGGTATTTCCATCCTTTAGCCCCCAAATGCCCTGGTACGGCCGAGAGTGGGGAGAGTCTACTCTCCCTCTCGAAATGCTCTCATATGGCCAGCGAATATATAGCCTCTGCCAGGGAAGTCCTACTCACTGCCTTCTCGTGGCGGGGGTGTTGTTTACGAAATTGAGAGGACGAAAAGCGAATGTCCGGCGCTATAACCGGATTGGTGGACACGGAGGGTCCACCTAGGGGAGTTGGAAAACCCTGATTCCAAACCAATGGTGCACATGGGCTCCAGTATCCTGATGGAACGAATGGCGGAAGAACCTGTCATTGGTCAACGGCAACCATGGGACTGCATCTCCTCACGATGCTCCACTGCCTTGTGAATCAGACCTTTAGGTCAAAGGCTCGGGGTGTGGTCCCCTTAGAAAACCACCTGCTTCGGTTTGGGCACCCGGGCAGTATCTCAGCCCACACACAAATGAATGAAATTATGAACTCTATTGACGATAATATCCCTGGTCATACTAAAAGCAAGACAATTAACATTATTATTATTATTACCTTTATTATTATTATTATTTATTATATCGCTAACTCACCCCCTTTTATCCCCAATTTGTGTAACCTTACTTTTCAACTTATGCAGCAGCTCGCCCATGGTGGAAAATCTGTCCTATCTAAACGATCTCCAGTCACTGTCTGGTTGAAAGTGAATGCTTCCACCGATAATGAATACTGAGGCAGTCTTTCTGAAACCACGTACGCCGTTCAAGCTGGCTTCCTTCAACGTTCGCACACTAATGCATATCAGACAACAGATAGGGCTGGCTATGTCTTTGGAAGGTCTTAATGTTGATGTTTGTTGTCTATTCGAGACCCGTATTCAAGACTCTAGTGAAGTACTACAAATCCGCTCTCCATCTGTCGCCTCGAAGAGCTTGTTCCACGTGCGCTTATCCGGGGACCCTGTGGCATCTTCGTCTGGTCTTGCTGGCGTTGGTGTCGCACTAAGCGCTAGAGCTGAGGCAGCACTAATCGATTGGATCCCCATTAACAGTCGGTTATGTGCTGTTAGATTAGAAAGTTCCATCAAAGTGAGAAGAAATCGGCGTGAGAAACGGTGTCTTTTCGTCATCTCCGCCTATGCCCCGACAGATTGCAGCCCGGATGCAATCAAGGATGAGTTTTACCATCAGTTAACAGTTCTTCTCCAGAAAGCGCGTTCGACAGATATTGTAGTACTAGCCGGAGACTTGAATGCGCAGGTCGGGCGTCTAGGCACAGAAGAGGGTCGTCTAGGTGGCCGATGGGGACTTGTTGGTCGCCGGACAGATAACGGGGACCGTTTGCTGCAACTGTGCACAGACTACAACCTGTTTCTGGCCAGCACTAACTTCCGGCACAGTCATCGCCGGTGTGCCACCTGGCGTCCTCCCTCTGCATCCCAAGCCTGGACTCAGATTGATCACATCGCGATCAGCTACCGCTGGCGTGGTTGTGTACAAGACTGCCGCTCCTTTTGGAGTACCTATCTGGAGTCTGATCATGCCCTGGTCTGCACCAATCTCACCTTACTTTTCAGTGGCTGGAGGATTGACCACCACCAACGGATTGATGTTAGTAAACTGGCTGCAACTTCTGTTGCAAGTAAGTATCGAGCGGAGCTAGCCTCTAGGCTAGCTACCACCCCACCGAAAAGTATAGATGAGCATTGGTTGCATCTTCACGACGCCATGAAAATGGCGAGTAAAGCCGCTTGCGGCTTCGCGAAACGTCCCGCTTACAAGCACTGGGTTTCTTCTGGCTCCTTACAACTGATGGAAGCCCGTCGGTCTACTCCGGGTGACCGTGAGTTTGACCACAAACGAAGGCTGTTACGTAATGAAATCGGGCAAAGCTTGCATAAGGACCGGGAAGCCTGGTGGTCGAAGCGTGCTAATGAGATGGAAGCAGCAGCTGCATCTGGTAACTGCCGGAAGCTCTTCCAACTCATCCGAGCCACTGGCAGCAAGAAGTCTGGTGTGAGTGAAACAATCTACGAGGATGACGGGATGTCAATCACTAACATCTGTCGACGTCTTGGACGATGGGCGGAATTTTTCGAAGGGCAGTTCAACTGGCCTGCTGCTCCGGCAACATCAACCAGCTTGTCCTGCCCCCCATGGCCGGTGACGACTGATCCACCAAACGAGGCGGAAGTCCTCAAGGAACTCCAACTCTTGAAACGTTATAAATCACCTGGCCCAGATGACTTACCTCCGGCTCTTTTTAAAGATGGTGGTGACTTTCTGGCTAAGGAACTGACTGCGTTGTTTGGAAAGGTTTGGGAGCAAGAAAGTGTTCCAACATCTTGGAATGAGTCAATAGTCGTCCCTATCTTTAAAAAGGGTTCACGTTGTTCCTGCAACAACTACCGGGGGATAAGTCTACTTTCGATTGCGTCCAAACTATTGGCTTCTATCATTCTTCGTAGGTTGTTTAAAACCCGAGAACGATTGACTCGCGAGGAGCAGGCTGGTTTTTGTTCTGGTCGAGGATGCATTGATCACATATTCACCCTCCGCCAAATGTTAGAACACCGTCATACTTATCGCAGGCCAACAATCGTAGTGTTTCTTGATATCAGGGCGGCCTTCGATTCGTTGGACAGGACTGTTCTCTGGGATTGTCTATTGAAGAAGGGTGTGCCTGAGAAGTTCATTAACATCTTAAAGGCCCTGTATACGAACACCTCAGGCAGAGTGAGGGCATACAACCACCTTTCTCCCTTGTTCCATTCGAGCAGTGGGGTTAGACAGGGTTGCCCAATCTCACCATTCCTCTTCAACTTTGCCATCGACGACATCCTGGAAACAGCTCTGATGGATGTAAGTAATGGCGGTGTGGATCTGCTGCATGGAGAACGACTTCTCGACCTTGAGTATGCGGATGATATTGTCTTACTGTGCGATAATGCCCAAGGCATGCAATCAGCACTTAATCAGTTGGCAATCAGTGTCCGCAGGTACGGCATGTGCTTGGCACGGTCGAAGTGCAAAGTACTCCTACAAGACTGGCAGGATTCTCATCCTGTACTCACCCTAGATGGTGAGGAGATCGAAGTAGTTGAGAAGTTCGTGTACCTAGGTAGCTATATAAGTGCTGATGGTGGCGTGAGTGATGAGATTGATGCACGTATAATGAAAGCCAGAGCGGCTTATGCCAATCTGGGCCATCTTTGGCGCCTTCGTGATGTTAGTCTGGCTGTAAAAGGTCGGATCTACAACGCGTCGGTGAGAGCAGTTTTGCTCTATGCTTGTGAAACCTGGCCTCTCCGAGTTGAGGATGTTAGACGTCTCTCTGTGTTTGATCATCGTTGTCTCCGAAGGATTGCTGACATCCAGTGGCAACACCATGTTAGTAATGCAGAGGTTCGGCATCGTGTGTTCGGGCGCAGAGACGATAACTCAATCGGTGTCACCACCTTGAAACACCGACTTCGGTGGCTTGGACATGTTTTACGAATGTCGTCCCAGAGACTTCCACGTCGTGCATTATTTGCCGATCCTGGGACTGGTTGGAGAAAGCGGAGAGGAGGTCAGTGTATGACATGGTGTCGTGGCATGAAAGAGAGCTGCAAAGGGCTAGCTTTTGTTGGTCCTTCACGACTCCCTGGTTGGGGTCCGAGAGATAGTGCAACACAGTGGCTGGAGACGTTATCAGATATGGCTCAGAATAGAAGCCAGTGGCGATCCTGCTGCAACCTTCTTTTACTTTCTACATAAAAAATGGTTCTAACTTTCCTAACTGAAAGAGTCTTCTGGTTGTATATTTCAGCCCGCCTTATCTTTTCATCCCTTCTCTTCCTACTTTCATTATTTTGTGTGGCGCATATGTACCTGGTGCCCTTCTGTACCAATATATATGTGTTTAAATAAATAAATAAATAAATAATAATTTTGGCTAAAATAAATCTCCAGTAACACTGAAGAAGCGATCATAAGACAAAACCGTAGTTGGTTTGGGTTTTTTTAAGCCTGCCAATGTACAGAGAACTTGAGAAAGCGAATAAGCTTGTAAATTTTCTCTGAAATTTTCAAACAGGTAACTCGTACTTACCGTAGTTATGGCAGCGACTTGCCCTGATGACAGAAGCCAATAACATCGTAATGCTGGACCAAGTACTGAAAGCAGTAGCATTTCCATTGCATCTGCAGCCTACGAGTAGAAGTTTGATACGTTTAGTAAGGTTTGTTAGCAGAATTAACAATAAAAATAAAGTTAAGTAAACCATAAACCCTAATTATTCATATATGTCAAGCTATTTGGCATTTAGTGAGAAGGAGCACATTACTTAGTTTGTTCAAGCAAAGTGATAACAGTGACTGAAGATTTCAAGAATAATTTTACAGATACATTTTATCAGTCCGAAATGTTGAGGCGTGAGGACGTTATTTACAGCTATAGTAAATTATTTTTCTGCACTTATGGTGATACACAACGAAATAGTACCAGGATGGTACATAATGTGATTTTCTTAATGTAATACAAAAATTAAAAAGTTTATGCAACTAATCATAAAATTAATAAACAGAAATTAACAGAACCTTACACAGTTTTGTCCTACAGGTTATCAAAAGACAAAGAGTCTAAAAAGGCATTTACACAACTTAATGGTCCAAGCGTTTGACACATTCGTAGTTTGCACGCTCACACATTTGGGACTACGAAAAACAAAGAACCGAGTTTGTATTTTACTCATTTCCGGACTTTCCTGGAACTCCCGTTGATATTGGACCGACAGACTTCAAGTTTGATGACGAAATGTATGCTTTCCATGCACAATTTTTATTCGTCTTTGCTTCTTTGGCAATTTACTAATATCCTGGTTAAGATTTTAAGCTGTCTTCAACGATGTACAAAAACAGGGTATGCTGTGGTTGAAAAGCCACGTTAAACAGTTCACTATGAATAATAAACTCATTTTACCTGAAATCGGATATTCCTTATTTTGATTTCTTAAGTGCTGTATTTATAAACATGGAAGTATATTTCAAAATGAAAAATACATTTTCCTCAACGTTGCTTTCCAGTTCAGGTGGTAAACTGTCTAAACGTAGTCCAGAATTCTCTCTTATCGGTAGTGTTCACAGTTTGCGTAAAGCTGGGTATATGCCGTCTGCTGTATTGAATTGGTTAACAGCCACTGGAGGTGGTGTCTGTCACGATAATTTTAACGAAAAAGGTGACTTTTCGTATGAGTGGAGGCCTGATTTTGAATTCTCTGAATTAGTTTCTCGAGTAAGTTAAATTTTATAGATGAGTTCTTTTCTGGTTCTATATGCTTGATCTTAATTTCCTAAACTCCTATGATATCTTCCGCTTTTTATCTGTCATTCCGGTTGAACAACGCTAAAAACCGAAATTCGCAACTTTAAATATATCAGTCCTACTTGTTTACGCACGCCAAAGCACCACCCCAAACACACTTTGATGCCTTGTCAGGGGGGCTAAAACATCATTCTTGATAAGTTTGCAAGATACTTTTTGACTATTTGAAATCTAGGGGATCGTCAGTCGGATATTTTACAAGCCTTATCATGAAATTCATTTACTTTGGCTTTTAAATGTTTATAAATACGATCGATAATCTATCACAAAATACCCTTGATTTGTGGATCACACTGGCTTTTCCGATCACAATAAATGATGAGCAGTATTAGGAGGCAGATTTACCAAGCGTTTGTGCAGCAGTTATAGAAAGTGAAAGATTTTTGTTTCAATATAGACTACCGAATGTCTTGAACTATTAAGGCAATGCTCCGAAGAAGACAATTTCTTTTAAGTAATCCATCGACAAACAGCGCGTAGTTTTGCATTTCAAAAGCAAACGAGTAAAATTATAGACGAAACACTCTGAAGTTAAATCTAACTAAATTAGTTAGGACTGGTATGTCTCAAAGCCGAGTACACATATTTGTGCTTGGTGAGTTACGTTGTCAAATAAAACCAGAAAAGTACCCATATCTTCCATATTTTATAAGGAAGTCAGAGAAAACCAGCACATTTTCTTGGATCATCCCCAATCACCTGATAAAATCAATGTTTATTTATTGTAGCAAAAGTATTTGTATTCTTTATCCGAGTAGCACTGTTAGGTTGGTTTTTCAGCAAAAGCACCATTCACTAAAATATGGGAACATCTCATATACTGCAAATGTATTCTGAAGTTCAATAAAACACATTAAACTTCATTTCATAGAATGCACCCGACCGTTGCTGCTACCTTGACGTGGTGGTCGGGCTTGCCTATCGTGATGATCCAATCGAGCTATGCTGGCTGGAACACTCGTTCCTCAAGGTCCTACCATGCCAGACAGGTCGGTTGAAGAACGGTGAGACTAAAAGCAGCAAACCCAAGGTCCGAAGGCGAAGTCGTACTGTCGACTGTACAGAGGTGTGACGGCAGTAAGGTGTTTCCTTCAGACAACCAGCATGACAGCGATGCTGCCTTCCCACAAGGAGGGGTGGGGTTAGAAAAGGTCGACCCTAAAAATGCACACCTCGCCTTATCCCACGGATATCCGTCTCCGGCGGTAAGGTTTTTTTTGAAGAACGGAGCTAACACAAAAACTACCCACAAAAAGGTCGTGTGTGACCGACCTCAAGCGGTTGTCCCTTGGGCACTGCGGTCACGCTCTCAGGTCATTAAGACCACTTCTAACCCAGTTTCCTTTTCAGGTACCCCCGGGAGAACCCTTCCACGGTGTGGGCAACCGGGAAGTGATAACTGCCCTCATACCTCTAACAGCACTCAAGACCACCGTATTCATAATCAATCTCCTTCAATTCCTACTATTCCTTCTACCTTGACTTTCAACACTAAACTTCCTGTTCCGGTTTCCTCCTCAAGTGTCACCATGGCCAACGATTCTAGTGCGCGAAACGCTGTCCCAGGTCTACTTAAACCTCGCTCCAAACTACACATTGGAGCCTTCAACGTACGTACCCTATGCCAAATCGGTCAACAGGCCTCCTTAGCTAAAACCCTAGAATCTCGTACCATTGATGTATGCTGTGTCTCCGAAACACGCATACAGGATCCCAGTGTGGTCATTCACTTGACCTCACCTCGCCAAAATGGACAGCCAACGAAATACACTCTCCGTGTATCTGGCGACCCGTTGGCTAGTTCTCGCGGACTTGCAGGTGTAGGCATAGCACTAAGTACAATAGCAGAACAGGCACTATTAGAATGGATCCCCGCTAACAGTCGCCTGTGTGCTGTCCGGCTGAATGGCTCCGTAAGAACTCGGAAGGATAGGGACACACGTCGTTTCTGCCTACGCTCCCACCGACTGCAGCCATGATGAAATGAAAGATGACTTTTACAGAAAGCTCTCTGAGCTTCTTCAGAAAGCTAAGGGCTCAGACATAGTACTCATAGCGGGTGACTTTAATGCCCAGGTAGGCAGCTTGAATCAAACAGAAAGACATTTAGGTGGGTGTTTTAGTATTCCGGCTCAACGAACCGATAATGGTGATCGTCTGTTGCAACTATGCTCAGACAATCGTTTATTTTTAGCAAGCACTAATTTTAAGCATAAGGAGAGACATCGTTTAACATGGCGACCACCTGCACCAAACCAACGATGGACTCAAATAGACCATATTGTCGTCAGTTATCGTTGGAGAGGCTCAATAGAAGATTGTCGCTCGTATTGGAATACTTGTTTAGACTCTGATCACGCTTTAATACGAGCGCGCATTTGTCTGCGCCTCAATGGACGCAGGGAAAGTACACTAAGAAGACCCATTAGGATTGAACTGGAGGATGAGAAAGCCAAGTGCGAATTCCAGAAACAACTAAGTTCACATCTAGGCAGTTCTGTAAACAAGACTGACACAGATGCTGCTTGGAAAGACATACGAACAGCTGTGGAAACAGCAGTTACATCTATTAGTCATTTAAACCATAGGGCTCCAAAAAACCAATGGATTTCTTCTAAGTCTATTTCACTGATGGATTCGCGTAAACTCATCCCATCAGGCTCTGAACATGACGAAGAGCGTAAACAAATCAGATCTAGGTTAACTAAAAGTCTAAGGAACGATCGTGAGCAGTGGTGGGCAACGAAAGCAAAAGAGAAGGAAAAGGCATCGGCTGTAGGCAACACCAGGCAACTATTCAGACTAATAAAAGAAACCGGAATTAAGAAGTCAAGTGTAAGTGAGACAATCTCCGAAAAAGACGGAACCCTTATCTGCTCTCAACCCAAACGTTTAGAACGATGGGCGGAACACTTTAAGGAGCAGTTCAGCTGGCCTTCAGCTACTGCACAACTACCCACTATTCCTAGAAAACCTGAATGGAACATTGAAGTAGGCCCCCCGACCCTACTTGAAGTTCAAAAGGCTATAGGTAATCTGAAACGAGGAAGAGCAGCTGGTCCAGATGGATTGGCTCCAGAGGTCTTTAAATATGGTGGTCCGATTTTAGCGATTAGGTTGACTAATATTCTGGCTAAAATCTGGGAGACGGATGTAATCCCATCCGACTGGTCACAATCACTGATTGTCCCAATATATAAAAAGGGGTCAAAATCATCCTGCGATAACCATAGAGGGATTAGTCTGACCAACATAGCATCTAAAATACTAGCCTCAATAATTATCGGGCGCCTAACTAAGACTCGTGAACTGCAAACACGAGAAAATCAGGCTGGCTTCAGACCTGGTCGTGGCTGTATCGACCACATATTCACCATTCGTCAAGTTTTAGAGCACAGACACGCTTATCGGCGTCCGACAATGATAGTTTTTCTTGACTTGAAAGCAGCATTTGACTCTGTAGACCGAGAGGTTCTGTGGCAGTGTCCGTCATTGAAAGGTGTACCTGAGAAGTACATAAACCTTGTGAAGGCTCTTTACTCGAACACTACCAATCGAGTGAGAGCTTATGGCGAACTGTCATATGATTTTACAACCTCAAGTGGTGTCCGTCAAGGCTGTCCACTATCCCCATTTTTGTTTAACTTCATTATAGACCTGTTGCTGGAAATAACACTCTCTTCGACTGAATTTACAGGAATTGATCTCCTACCAGGGGGACCACTAAGCGACTTAGAATACGCAGATGACATAGTCCTGTTTGGTGAAGACGCTGGCAAAATGCAGAGTCTTCTGTTGGAACTCAGTAATAATGCCAGGATGTTTGGGATGCGTTTCTCTCCATCCAAATGTAAATTGTTACTCCAGGACTAGCCTGCATCAACACCTGAACTAAGGATAGGGAGTGAAGTAGTCGAACGCGTTGACAACTTCACTTATCTTGGAAGTCTGATCAGCCCTAATGGGTTGGTGTCTGACGAAATCTCAGCACGGATTCGAAAAGCTCGTTTGGCTTTTGCCAACTTACGTCACCTATGGCGAAGACGAGATATCCGTCTATCAATTAAAGGACGAGTATACTGCGCAGCAGTTCGCTCTGTTCTACTTTACGGTTGTGAAACATGGCCATTAAGAGTAGAAGATACTCGTAGGTTACTAGTATTTGACCACAGATGCCTTAGAAATATTGCACGCATCTGCTGGGATCACCGGGTAAGTAATAGTGAGGTTAGACCCAGGGTATTAGGGAACGATGGTAAATCAGTTGATGAGGTAATGAATCTTCATCGACTGAGATGGTTGGGCCACGTGTTACGTATGCCTGAACACCGATTACCACGACGCGCTATGATGACTAGTGTAGGGGATTGTTGGAGGAGAGTTAGGGGCGGCCAAACCAAAACATGACATCAGTGTTTGAAGTCACTAACTTCTAGTCTGAGCCATGTTGGCAGATGCAGACTACCTGGTTGGGGTCCGCGTGACTATCGTAACCAATGGTTGGAGACTCTGGGTGACATGGCTCAGAATCGATCACAATGGTGTAGGTGTATACACTCTTTATCTTCCTTTAAACCTTGAGACTAAAATTGCTTCATATCTCTCCTCCTTCCTGTACTATATCCTTATATACAACCTATAATTTATATACTACTACCACCATTAAATTAATTACTTCTATGAACCCGGTGTTCATCTTGTTGTGCTAACGAGGTATGGCAACTTGGACCGATGCATAAATGTGCCTAGTCCTACGTTGTAGATGACTGACTGACTGACCATGAGCTTTAATGCTAGATACAACGGAGATGCTTACCGATATGGCTCCACATAAAACGAAAAGCTTCAATTGAAACCTTCCAAAACCAGCTGACTCCACAGCATCTTCAACTGTATATGTAGGGTTCGGCTTTTTTTCTGTATCTAACCCGTTTCCACTGGAATTAGACTTATCCAAATCTTCTGAGTCTATTCGCGTAGATCCAACTACTTCATTTGAATTCAGTTTGTTTCCAGATTTATCAGGAAAGAGGGACTGATATACAGGAGGTGAAGACGGATAGTCCTAAGAGGGTTTATACAATTATAAAGCCCTTAACAAACCATTATATATTAACTTGAATTGCGATAAAAGTTGCGGGTGTTTTGTTGGGAAGTTAGGTCAACTGTTTGATCATATTTACAATATCAGAAGAATATCTGAAGTAACGAAACAAAGTACTCATTTTTAAAACATCAAGGTGGAAGATCTGTTAAGATGAATAATAATAGAGCTCATATCAACTACAAGAAAACCGTCACCATAAAAACATAGATTCAATAAACATAGATAAACAATGAACCCGGAAATTGTGAATAATATGGAACACAGGACAGATAAAACTAAACGAATGAATTATATTAACTCCAGTCTTGATGTTCAAGATACAAGAGATTGGCATCAATTGAGTCATTAATATACATATCTTTTCGGAAAAAACTTAATGCTCAGATTATTATTAGGTCACAGTATGCCAGGAAAATGTTTAGTACTAGTTATGTCAGTTTTTCCAATGACCAAGCCAACGGACCCGTGCAAAAAAGACCATCCACAATACTATCTTGTTGTTGTGCTGCAAGGCGATATGCAAAACAGCACTACACAATTAATCCTAATGTGTGAACTCAAGTCTAGAACATCTTATGCCGAGATAACCTAGAGGCAACGGTGACGTCACGTTGAGGTTACATACCGTTGCAGAATTCTGCAACGTACTGACAAGATTATGTGTCATCGATTTTTAGTATACGAGATATGACTCTTTTATGACTAAAAAACTACCATTAGATGGAGTCAGATGCATTTTCCTCCTTCAAAACTATAGATTACCAGGAATAAGAATCTCTAGAAAAGAAGAAAATTTAGAGTACGCTATATTTTTATTTTGCTAATAGGGAAATAATTGGAAAGACGAATCTTGATCACCACATAAGGAAATTTACGATGCGAGTACGAAAAAGACAAAACACGATTTGGTTGGACGCCTTTACCTCTTCCCGCCTTGATGCTATGATACAATGTAATTTGACAGTGCTTACAAAACGTTTTATTTCGAATTAAAAATTCAATATATTTGTAACGGGCTAGTAAACATAAGTCAACTTATTATACCCTCTCTTGCTATGTTTTTAAAACTATTCGAAGGGTTTCGAATCGTCCAGTTAGCTTACTCTAGACACTCGATTATCCTATTCTTAGTGTGTCGATTACTGGTCAGAGGATGATTTGCTTACAAGATGGTAGGTGAGGATTTCACATAGAAATGAGTTTAGTAGGTATTGTATCGCACCACCTCAGAACTACTTTGGTTAGTCATATGGAACTTCGAAAACGAAAAATAAACCATTATTAAAGATGGAAGAAGGAAGAAAGAGATGATTTGCAGATGCCACAGATATATATATTGTCACGACGATTTTGTCTGTAACACCAATATAATTAAAGTATACCATCCGAGTCAAATCAGAAATGTTGTCGCCGTGTTGAGAAGCCTGCAGTGGTTAATCAATCCTCAAAATAAATACTTCTGCATGTTTTTACTGAAAATCAGTACCTGAAGGCGCCCGGTCACCCATCCACACCAGACCACGAATAGGTACACAGTGCTACACGTCCCTTTCAACTGTTAACCAGGTCAGATCAAACAGTTCTCAACATATCGACACTCTTTCAAATATATCTTCCAACACACTCATTCCTGACTTTTGATTTGCCTGAGTTGGCATACCTCCGATATAAAGGCGCTATGTGTAAAGGAGTTGTCAAACAATAAACTGTGACTCTGTCCNNNNGAGTACTCCGTGATCCGGAAAAATAGAATATACGGTTAATAAGAGAAATGAAATTTCGAAGATTCCGAGAATCGAGTACTTTTTTGTGGTCAACGACATAATCAGAGACTTATAGGTCAACTATTTGATGACATGCTGTAGGCATGTATGCTATGGTGAGACTTTATCCCCTTGGAAATAAGTCAGTTTCCACCTTACAAGCGTGCGAGTTCTACTAGTAATGAGTATCGTGAACAACGTAAGTAAATACTGCGAACCCGGTCACCACAGCCGGTGTGGTCTATTTGTCAACCGCGTGGTCTAACGTTCGGGAGGACGGTGGTTCGAGTGTCTGTGTGTGGGTTCGATGTTCTCATCCACAAAACTCACATCCACACGATGTTCATTGACTTGAACTTACTCAGACATGAGGAAAAATAACAATAAAAGGACGGATAAGTATGCAAAAGTGCCCTAACTAGCAACGCTGGAACGGTGCGTTAGCTGCCTAGAGTATGAACAGTACAAGTAATTTCTGCTGATAATAATCGAATAGAAAAGTCATATGCGTGGTAGGTTCTACATACAGCACAAGAAAAACAAAATATATGAACTGTTATTCGTATAAAATAAGGTTTTTCAGCATAACAATACTGGGAAGTTGCAGAATTTCATATGGACAGCGGACAATAATTGGCTTAACATGAGCGTAGCCGTGTGAGTCATGTCGTAAACCCAATGTTCCGGTTGCCTTGCGGAGTTTGAAATTAAGTATGGGAAATCAGTGAGGCTGTAATTTATGGACGACTTTTCAGCAACGCTAAAATGACTTTAGGATATCCTACTTATCCTACTTATTACAGTTAAATGAGGGTTATATATTAGTATGAGGAATCAGAGTTCAGTTTTGCCTTTAAACGTTAGGATTAGGAATTAGATATAATGTTATGAACACAAAGTGACAACTATAATGCCGAAATGTTATTCAGCCACAGGCACGAACAAATTTCGCGCCAAAATCCAAGACTCGTTATCTGAAACTTGATTGGTTCGTCCATAAGTTATAGTCTCGCCGCGAAATCTATACAGCTAATATAATGTTCAATAGCTATTTTCTCAGCCGTTTCATACTCAGCTCTGAGGATTGTGTGATTAGGGCCCAATGCCATTAAAACCTTACAGGTACTGTATTATAAATTGTCTACAAATATTTAAGTGTTTATAAGTCGATACAGTGAATGCACACTACGTGATTATCAGAGAAAGTATAGGTTTGGCCCAGTTGAGTATAACTCCCGACCCATCTCCATGACAACGGTATGAACTTGTAGTCAGTGATTGCATAAAGATAACAGTGGAAAAACAACATTAGTTATGTATATAGTTATTGATAATAATAATATATTTCTGCAAGGGCAGGTACACACCATTTTTACAGGCATGATCTACAATTTACAACATATACTGGTTCACAGTATGCATCCCAAGCATGGTTGTTTAGTAATTATAATCTATAAAAGTTGATAGCAGTTCCTTCGTTCAGATACAATGTGTTTTCTTCAAAATATTTTTCAAAGGGGCATCGCGTTGACGTTACACACCAGATCCAATCTCGTCAAAATTGTGTTGGAATTTTGGTCATGCTAAGTAATAATGCAATGCAAATCTTAAGTTTATAGTTGTTATAAAGTAGGCTTGTGGAGCGCCTGGTTCGAACTATGGCCTTGGGAAAGCGCGTTCGTCGAGCTTGCTCCAGATGTCAGAAGTTACATAGCTTACCCGCAGAGCAAGATTCTGAAGAGAGCAGAAAAAGAAAAAAACCGAGGAGCAGCAAGGAATTCAGATATGAACGATAACCAATGCTTACCGTCTAGCAGTGGAATAGACGGAGGTATGATAAATTATTAGATCAAATTGGTACTAGCTCATGTTGCTAGAGTAAAATGTGATCAGGGGCTCCAGATGAGAGAATGCAGTAATAAAGAACAATAAGTTGTGATATTTATCAAGGTGGAGTAGGTTCAAATGAAGGAAAGGAAGTCAATATTGGAATGCGAAAGACTGTTTATTAGAACACAGAGTGCAAGTAGAGAGTAGAGTGTTAAGTAAAATGGCAACCATATCCTTTACAGTCCGTTTTTTTCATCATCCGATGCCTGCCACACAGTTTTCATGTAAAAGTCCGAGTTAGCTTATTATAGGTTGTCTTAGTAGAATAGTTAATCCAGCATAGAAATTAGAAACATGAGTTTGAATGGTGAGTGAAGGAGATCAACCTCAATATCACAGATTGATTGGCTTGTTCTCATCCATAAAGAGCCTGATACAGACAAAATGTTCTGCCCCACAAACAAAAGAGGATTGAAGTCATCGCAATCACCTTCAATGCTTGCTGTTCAGTAACTTCACAAGATTTTAATAGATAAATGGTTACACTTCAGACTGCAGCCGAAACTGTGGATATTCTTTACTGAATAATCGGTTGTGTTCATTTAACCTTTTCAGTCACTTCTGCAAAATCCTTGTCCCAACTTTTCGATTCCGAGATTATTTTGTCAGGCGAACGGTGTAACAATAGGTATGGTTGTTTATGATATAGATAAAACGGTTTCAGCCTATCAATACCTACGGAGTCGATGTTTTCTTGTTTTTATATCACGAAATATTTGAATTACCTTGAGGCGACTTTCGAAAGACCCTCGAATGAAGGGATAGACGGTGCTTTTATTTTTTCACACCCTATCCAGACGTGTGTGCAATTGCTTAGATCCTCAGGCACATATGTCACTCGTGATTGTTTATGTGTTGATTGGTTTACGTGTGCATATATGATCTGGTAGTTGTTCTACGCAACTTTCTGAATCAAGCTTCTGGCTTTCAGTATGAGGGTTACTGAAGTCAGTCGGCAGTCTCAGAGTTGTTCTGAAAACTAGCTTCGCTGCTGAATACTGTGAGTCAGTTTTGGCAGATCTTCGTATTCCCAATATAACTAATGACAGGAATTCTGTCCACTGATTGAGGTTTGAGTGTGATAGAAGGATAGCCTTTAGTCGACGGTGGAAACGTTCTAACATCCCATTAGCCTGAGGATGATATGCAGTGCAACGTGTTCTATTGGAACCTAGAATTTAAAGTGAGTTGTCAAATAGCTCAGATTCAAATTGTGCTCCTCTAGCCATCGTTATTGTAATAGGTTTTCCCCAAATTGTCATCTGGTTCCGAATGAAAGTTTTGCTTTCTGTTAACGGTTAGCGGTTTATGATCTATACATACTATGAAGTCCCCACCTTCTAAAATGTATCGGAAATGTTTAATAGTTAGTTAGACTGCCAGAATGTTTCGTCCAAAAGTAGAATTTCTAGCCTCTGCTGTAGCGAGTGTTTTTGAGAAGAATGCAACCTGTTTTCACGCGTTTATAACCAATTGATTCGGGATACTGCCAACTGCTTTGTCCGCAGTATCCACCACCAAAGCGAATGGGAAAAGGGGATTCCGATGTATCAACGTAGATACTTCAGCTAGTTTGTCTTTTAGCTGTTTAATTACCTCAACAACCTCAGAAGTAAAAAAACTAAAATCTTTTGGTCTTCTTTCAAGCGAACATGTCAAAGGTTGCATCAATTGTGCATAACCGGGTATGGACCCTCGAGAAAAGTTAACTAGACCTATAACACTTCTAAGTTGCGTTAGAGAACTTGGTATGGGGTATTGTCTGATGTTGTTCACTTCTTCTTTGATTAGTGTAATCATCTCTTGGCTTATTGTGTGTTCGAAAAATTCTGGAGTTTGAACACCGAAAACAAACGTGTCTTGATTTATTTTAATTCTATTTTCATTTAACCGTTTCAGTACCTCTCTCAGATGCCGTTCGCGTGATTTTAAATATAGACTGACCATTAACAAGTCGTCTATATACCACTGTGCAAATGGAATACCACAAAATAGGTTATTTAGGGATCTTCGAAATATTTATCCCGTATTCCTCAAGCCGAATGGCATGCGTACAAACTCGAAAAGTTCAAAATATGTTGTAGAAGCTGTCTTAAGTATACCTCCCTCAGCTATTGGGATGTTACGATATCTGCTGACCAAGTCAATCTTAGTAAATATGTTTGTAGTCTGCAAGCCGTTTGTAAAATCTTGAATCTGAGGTATTGTGTACTCGTCTGGCACGGTTTGACGGTTTAAGGATCTGTTATCCCCACACGGTCTCCAATCGCCTTCATTTTTCCTCGGGACCATATGGAAACGGGTTTCCCATTGACTATGAGATG